TAATTCAATTTTTCTCTCCCAAACCTCACCCGCCCTGTTGGGCACCGCCTCCATTTTACCATATCGGCGGTGCCTGGTAGGAAAGCAGATCTCAGTAATACCGCACACGGGATTTCTGAGATTGGTCAAATGAATCGAGTCTATTACTCGATCAGTTCGACCCGCTAACCCACCAGCTACACACCAAGACAAAATACTACGAACACACACACGGAGGACGGCAGTAGGCTATCTTAGATAGGAAATTGTAATATAATATTAATAAAAAATATTATAATATCGGGTCAGTTTTAAGTTTCGATTAGATATTGTCAATTAGTGTTAGTGTAAAAAAGGTGGCATCATCGCGATACCCCGTCGTCAAACGCTTATGATTTGACAAGGTCCTTTTGGTGTATCTGGAACACTTTTATCCTAATCCTGGGTCGGGCATCTGATTGATAGCCCGCTACTTTAAAATTTAAAAGTAGCGGGCTACAAATGTGGTGTTGTGGGACCGGCTGTTCAAAACTGAGATCGTGTTTGTTTCATTGGTCCCTAATAGTAGCTACCATAACTATAACATTCTTGGTAGGCACAGCAAGAACACACCTCTTGAACAATGAAGGATTGATCAATTTCTTTGCTACGTGGAGCTAGGGCAAGTCTAACGGGACGATGAAGCGGTGCTGTTCGCAGTGGTAGCTCAGTCAAGAAATGGGGTTATTACCAGTGCAGTATAGTACTATATCCATACTATCCACCTTTCCGTGGGAATTTCCCGAGGTCATAAGTGAAACATAGAAATATGATTTTATCCTCTACTGTCTCTACATGGGCGTCTGTGTGCGTGGTGTATGTAGGAGTGGTTAATATATAAGACTTAGCTATATGGTGTATACTACAAGATGATCCCAATGGTAATTATTTGGGACGGTGGTAAAAATCTAGGCATCTCATTCTCCTTACCACCTCTTTGTCTGTCGGAGAAAGTCACCTATCGAGTTTCCATCGATCTTCATTGCATCGCATTGTGCAATGCAAATCGAGGAGGATGGGGTCTTGCAAATCATTCGTGGGCCCCGGTGCAAGATCGTCTTTATGCTAGACGAAGGACTGTCAACTGGCGTTGTGTTGACTCTTCTGTTGGTGCCTCTCTTTCTCAGGTCAGGAAAGACAGTCTTGGAAACCATTGCCCGTGATCGAGCAGATCGAAGCATGGATCGGTTGAGTTTGGCAACCAGAGCTTCCATTGATGGAATTCCCTCCTTGTCGTCGGCCACGGGGTGAAAGCTGATGTCAGAGAAGAGGCTGTTATCCGAGAGGCTTTCTTCTTCGTCTGAGACTGGAGCAGCAAAACCGTCATCCACCTTGAACGGAACGCTTATTGTTTTCGTTTCCATGCATGGTCGGAGGCCAGAGAATCGGACATTATCATGATCCTCGCCGGATGCTCCTGCTTCCTCAACATTCTCAACAAAAGAGAATACTGACATATCATCGGAATTCAGATCATAATCTATTTCGGTGCAGTTGGCAATGTTGTCCATGTTGTTGCGTCTATGTATGCATGCTGGATGGATTAATGAAAAGATTCAGTAGGAGGACGCGGAGTGGATAATGTTGAGCGGTGAGCTCGGAAACAGTTGAACATGCGTTCGTGAGCCATTCCACTCCAGGAAACCAATCAAATTTTGTCAAATCGTTTTACTCATAACAATCATTTGTCAAGAGCCTTCGCCTTTTCGCTGTGCGATTCTTTATTCGTTATGTGAATCTCCGTGTGCTTCTGCTCTGTGTGAACTTGGGTCCCATTCAGTTTCCAGTGACGACGAATATTCTGTCCCCGCGCATGGACTATTGCGAAGCACCAGCACGGTACCATATCTGGTACTCGTACAGTACCTCCCCGTTGACGATGAGCAAAATGATACGTGTGGTGCAAAAAGAAGCGAACCATATCACTTTCCAGCCGCTCCAGCCACTAACAAGTTTCGCGGCCAAATCACCACTCTGGAATGTAACGGCATCAAGATCAGAAAATTCTAGAAGACTTTGAAAGGATACAGTAACAAGTTGAGATTGTCATGGATAGGTTTCAAGGCAGATATTGCCGTAGCTTCTTTTTCTCCCATAGGTATACGGTACACATTGCAGGCATGAGGCAGGTACAGTATAGGCATGATTGGAACATTGATGAAGATACTGAAATGGTTGCGGATGCTACACGTTGCATTGCGTTGCGGGACCAAAATATACGGTACACATTGCAGGCATGAGGCAGCTGCAGTAGGCATGATTGGAACATTGATGAAGATACTGAAATGGTTGCGGATGCTACACGTTGCATTGCGTTGCGGGACCAAAATTACAGCTCGACTGACTCACTCACTCACTCGCCAGACTAAATATCGATCCAAGTAATCAATTACGCCGGAATGACGGACTGACGACTGACTCGTTGCACGCATTTCATATGATCGATATATGTATGAAGTATAGTACAGTACAGGGCACTGTCAGAGCTGCTCGAAACAAATCATTCTGTCCTTTTTTACATGTCCAATAAGGAAGGCTTTCATCCAGCTTCGACACTGGATACCTTCGATGATGAAGTCTTAGGCTATGCGATTGCCGGTGACGCAGCCGTCGCCACCCCCATTCATCATGAAGCTGTCGACCAAGGAATAAGGCCCATTGTCGGCGGTAACGATGCCAGGAATCGCTCCAACCACTTATTCTGTGGTTGTTGCTGCGATAGTCGCCGTGCCACGATAGTTGTCAATATGATCGCCATTATCTGGTACACAGTCATGATAATTGTGTTTGCGTTTCTGGGTGTCTCTATTGCTGAAAATGGATTTCCAGGGGATGAAGAAAATAATGCTCAACAAGACGGGGGAGACTTTGATGATGAAGGCCGTGATGTCTTTTTTGAAGGAGAAGCCTTGGCAGCTGTGATAATATCAACCGTGTCCATTGCGCTTCATGTCTTCGGAATTTATGGAGCAATATACTACCAATCTGCAGCGGTTGCAGCTTCAGCTTTTGGCTACATGTTTTCATTTGCCCTTGCATTGCTTTCGCTGAATATGACTGGGATTATCCTATGCTCTCTTTTTTTCTATGCCCATGCTATTCTCTTGTTGGAGATTCGAAACGGCATCATGACGCCCTACAATTACGAGAATATCAAGGCTTGCTGCGAATGTAACTTTTAGTTTTTGCTTATACAGGATCGTTGTTGCTTGGTCGGTTATTCATTTGCTCTAGTAAAAGATTTGGCTCCACGATATGTTTGTTGTAATTAATATGCATATATAAAATAATCCAATTTAGTATCCACGATGTTCTAGTAGTAGGGTAGGACTGTGTAGGGAGTGATGCATTGCTATAGAATTGCATCACAAGTTCTGCACAAAAAAGGTACAAAATCTGTAAATGGCGTCATAATGTTCTCGGGTACCCAGACTTTCTGTGATGGATGTGGCTTGATAGCAGTGGAAGTTGACATCACAGCGAGACATCGTCGATCGACCAATACGATGTCTGGTACATGGCAAGCACCAAAATATTTCGACATTTTCTTCAACTTGGCCGAATTCGTTGGCGTCTCTGCAGCTACAACCTGGTGAGTTGTGTAGTTGGCTATTTTTTTGTTTCGTTGAAAAAGCCTCAGGTTTGGGTTCGTCGACACCTTCGCATGCGTCCATCAGGAGTGACCTGCTTTCTCATCACATCCTCGTCGAACTAGTGCCCTTCGAATATTTCGAAATTGCTTGGACACCTTCTCACGGGCCGCTTCATCCGATACCACCTCCCATCTTGTTCCATCTATGGAGGGCTTTAGAAAACGACCACCTTTATGCCGTATGCGTTCGATCAATTGCGACACTGTGTTCTTTTTCTCTCCACGATCGGTGCGGTCGTACTTTTCTAATAGCCCGACAACGAGTTCTCGCAGTCGCCGATTGCCTGGATTATCGGACTGTGGCCCAAACAAGACGTCGTGTTGGCCGATCTGTTCTACATGTACTGGAGGCCTTGATATTGTTGATGTGATTGAACGTCGACGACGCAAATTTCGGAAGAGCTGTGTGATCTTAGCACGTTGTTCCTCTGATGATAGTTCCACCCAAATGATCTTCCCTTCATCCTTTGATAACATTGAATCTGCTTTCGATCCTTGAGGGTCCGGCTTCAGAAATCTACCGCCATGTCTGTGGACTTCATCAATGATCCAAGCTACAATGGTGCGTCGATTGGAAATATCTGCATTGGCATACGCTTTGGAATAAATAAGCGCCAAGGAATGTAGCCGTTCGTTTCCCAAACCTTTGACTCTTTGACCCAATGACAAGACATCGTTTTCATTGCCGCTGTTTGGGGCTGATACGGTGTCATGGCAGAGCACGCTCCGTTTTTGCGCTATAGAGACATTAGAAAAAGGAATGCGTACTGGAACTTGTTGTCGTTGCTCTTTCTCTCGAAGTACTCGTCTCTGAAACCAAGCACTGTGAGCACTAAAGTCGATCTCACTTTCCGGTCCGTTCAAAGGAAGGGCTCCTCTAGTTATACCATAGCTTGTGAGCAAATATTGACATTCTGTATGAGATCCCAAGTGTACACGCGACTTCACGCGCTCGTAATATGACATTGTTGCAATACATGCCCTGGTTACCATGGATTCTAATGGGCTGCTGGAACATATATGAAAGCCGTCGGCTTTCAAGGGAAGAACGTTCATCTTGGTCCAAATCTTGTGCAGTGATGTCCCGAACCAAGCTCTCCTCGCCAAAGAGGTCTTGTTTGTATTTGAAGAATCTAATCAGTTTCTCAGCTGAGGCTTTAGGCTCAAACCTGCTCGCTCGCAAGAACGCTAGCTGAAGTTCTCGATTGGAAACATATGATGGGTCTTGCTTTTCTGCTAATTCGTAGGTGGTTCCTTTCTTCATACGATTCAGATGAAACTCTAACCCAAGGAGCAGGTCGTTGATCGTTTTTTCATTCCGGTCAACTTCATCAGCAACTCCATGAAGCAGTTCCTGCTCATGCTGAATCTCATCGAAAGAAAGGTGGTTTGTCGCTTCTACCAGAATATCTTCATAAGCCCTTGAAGAAGGCGTGTTTTTGCGACTGCTCTTCAATTGACTTGTGATACCACCGCTTGAGGATGAGTCGTGCCTGCAGAGGCATAATTTGTTTGGGGTTTTAACTGGTGTGCTCATGATATATCCCTTGTTTTCCTTTTGTCATACATCAACCTCTAGGTATCAGTATATAAAGGAAACTATGTTGCTGCAACATAGCTTCATGCAATGCATGTTTGTCATGGACGCACGTCACGCGTGTGCGTGCGCTCGGATCTGTTTTTATGAATCAATCGTATGTTTGTCACACGTATTTTACAATATGAATATATCTTATATGCGTGTACCGCAAGAGTATATACACGTGGATTGGCAATTTTTTGTTTCGTTGGGAAAACCTCGGATTTTGGGTTCGTCGAGATATTCTTCTTTGTGTCGAGGTATTTATGACTCGTTTGGCGCTTCATTGTTCAGTTTTAGATAGTGATTTTGGACAAGATTTAATATAAACTATACGTTTCCGTATATATTTAAAACCATGTGAGTTGCGCGTTCTGGCCAAAGTTGTGGCATCATTTCGCACCGTCATCCCCGAAAAACCAAAATTAATCCTCACGACTTCAAATTGCAACATCGGATCTTCATCCAAGACACCAATTCACAATCTTTCACTTTTCAAAAAAATATATATCGTAAAAATAGAGCCATGAAGATCGCAACGGCGCTTCTACTGGCAATGACAGTCTTTTCGGCTGATGCCAAGACACCTCAAGTCCGGGGGAAGAGTGTGGAAGACAAGAGCGTTCCATTCACCATTGAAATTCCAAGAGGGACCAAGGTACGGCAATCGTAATATTGTCTTTCCAACTATCATTCACACAATCTCAAATCATGTTGCAATATCACATAGTACGAAGATATCGACACCAATGTCAGAAGAATGCTGCAATACTCATCTGTTGACTATATGGATTGTATGAACTGTGCCTGTGATACCCAAAGCAACGGCGCACTTAGTGGAAGAACCCCAGGACCCACTTGTACCTGTGATGATTCACAGTGTAATCAAGGAGACACTACCTGGAGCCAAGACGATCCTGCTCTTTCACTTGACGAAAGCACCCCCCTTCCAACTACCAATCCAGCAACTCCCGCTCCAACTCCTGCTCCTACTCCCGCACCGACTTCCCGGCTTATCGCACATCCAACTGATGGAAAAGGCAAAGGCGGTAAAGGCGGTAAAGGAAAAGGAGGCAAAGGCCAAGGTAAAGGAAAGGGTAGCAAGAGAAATTCCAAGAGATACAGCTCTTACTACATGAGCAAGAAAGCCGGAAAAGGAAAGGGTGGCAAAGGAAAAGGAGGATACTACGATGATGACTACACCAGTTCCTCCAGTTCCTCAAGCTCTGATGGTGATGATTGGTACTACTCATCTGGCAAGGGCAAAGGTGGAAAGGGTAAGGGTGGCAAGGGATACCGTGATAACTACTACGATGATGACTACTCATCGGGCAAGGGTAAGGGTGGCAAGGGATACCGTGGTGACTACTACGATGATGACTACTCATCGGGCAAGGGTGGTGGCAAAGCTGGCAAAGGATACTATGATGATGACTACTCGTCTGGTAAGGGTAGTGGTAAAGCTGGCAAGGGATATTATGACGATGACTACTCATCCGGCAAGGCCGGCAAGGCATACGATGACGATGATGACTGGTATGATGATGATGGTGATGACTTCATCGACGAAGGTCCAACTAGTGACTGGGACGACGACGATAACTACACTCCACCAGCTCCCATCACTGCACCTACTATACCAGCTCCCATCACTATACCTACTATACCAGCTCCCATCACCCCACCAAACCCACCTACGCCACCCCCCACTATCGAGGAATTGGAAGAAACCGATGATGGCATCACTGACTTTGACGATGATGACATTCCTGACTTTCCCGCATTTGGTAAAGCAGGCAAGGCTGGAACAGGAAAAGCCGGTGGTGGTAAGGCTGGAAAGGCTGGTTATGGAAAGGCCGGAAAGGCTGGAACTGGCAAGGGTGGCAAGGGCGGCAAGGCAGGTGGAGAACACGAAACCTCTGACGGATCATGTCCATCGAATTGTGAGACAGTAACCTATGATTGCATGAACGATGGATGTAACGTATGGTGTTACTGTCCCGATCCCGAGTGGGAAAACATCCCAGATGCAATAATTCCTGGTAAGGGCAAAGGAGGCAAGGGTAAGGCAGGAAAGGGCAATGGCAAGTCTGGTGGCAAGGCCGCCAAGGGAAAGGCCAAAGGAAAGGCTAGTGGCGGTAAAGCCAAAGGCAAGGCTGACGACTCCGCCCAAAGGCAATTGAAGCAATAAGGTGCCCGACAAAACACCAAAGCGGATCGATATGAAGTCGGTTCCGTCCACAATAGCGGGCGGATTGTACCATAGTTAAATTTAAAAAAAAAGAATCCATTGAGAACAGTCAGATTTATTGACTGAACTGGTCGAGCAGAACACTTCTCCACGAGCCGATGAAACACATTAGATCATGAAACAATATCATTACAAGTGCATCCAACTTATTCAAATTGCATTGCCTAGCTACTATTCAGTGGTTTCAATCCCAACTTGGCCCGTTGTTCGTTCCAATATTCGTCCGTTCCTTCCCCTGCTCCGCCGCTTCCAATCTCTTGTGGTGCTGACGACTTATTTTTGTCTTTTTTGGGTTTATCGGATTTGAATAAGCTTCCATATTTCGGTTTCTTCTTTTTCTTTTTCTTATCTTCCTTGCTGTCGCCATGTTTTCGTTTCGATGACTCATGTTGCGGCTTGCTCGATGAATCCTCCAGTTCCCCATCTTCGGTGCTTTGCTCGACACCAGCATCCTTTTGAGATTCTTTCTTCTTCTTCTTTTTCTTTTTCGTGTCCACTTCGTCTGGAAAGAACTTTTCCCAAAGCACTGCCGCCCCCTCACTTTGTTCCACTTCCATTTTGTGTTTCAGATATTCCTTGATGCCTCCTGCTTCCGAAATCTTTTCGTCCAATGCCGTTTTCCGCAAACCACCAGGTCCACTAGTCTCTTCCAAATATCCTTCCGTTATCAAGGTTGCTCGATGAGGCAATCGGGGCATGGAAATTCCACAGGCAATTGGTTTGGTGAACAAATCATGGACAAACTCGTCCATGTGCACCAATTTCCATTCCGTCACGTCCCGATACCGTAATTTGTCAAAGTTGCTGTACAGAGGCTCCAAATGTTCATAAATTTCAGCAGGTCGCCCCGTCAATCGCAAATAAAAGGCCCCTAGTGCCTTGACGTACTTGAAATGGTCCTGTTGGATGAATTCCAATACCAATTCCAAATCGGGTTGCAACTGCAGCAATTTCAGAGTCAGACTTAGAAACTTGGAAGGCTTGTGGTTTCCACCATAGGTCCCTCCAATGCACACCAGTGATTTCGTAGCCTTTTCAATCACATCGGCGGCGGACAACCCAAAGCATTCTTCCTTCCAGAACCTCGAGTCGTAGATTTTTTGCCTCGTAATGTATTCCATCAAGTTCTGAGGGTCCGTCCCCGAGACGGCGGCGATGAGCGGATCAGTCACGTTGGCCATTTTGAATCAGTAGCTGTTTTGTTCGTTTGTTTGAATTGTAGTGAATTGTAGTGAGTTGGAGTGAGTTGGAGTGAATTGAATTGAATGCAACTTGAAACTGTGCGAATGAATGGTGTATTGAGCAGCGAATTCTGATGTATTGAAGATGTGTGCGTGTTAACTTTTTGTGCCAACGAAGCTTCAATTTGGACACAATTAGAAGACAGATGGATTCAGCAGAGCGATATAGAGGGGGTGGGGCTGCTTTGTTACCTTTGTTAGTCTATATGGTAACAAGGTGGATATAGAGTGGAGACCTTTCTACAGTATACAATGATGCTATATTATAACGATCTGTAAAAAAGCATCTGGTACTTGAATAGGCTTTTTAAAAAGTGGGAGGTGGGATGACGAGATGCGAGTGCAGTCGATGATGCGATTCACTTGCAGAAAGAGGCAAGAATCCCGTAACCGTACAAACAACCTTGTGGTGAATACAAATCTTATTGTTATTCCCATACGTAATTTGTGCTTTATGTACATAGATTAGAGGTGTGCATGCAATTTGAATTCCGAACTTTGGACTCCCTGGAATAGATCGGATCACCAGTTGCCATGATTGGAGGGAGAGATGGCGGTGTCAATAGGAAAGACTATAGCCCAAGGCTCATTTTCCGTCGTGGCTTTCCAAAACAACGCCACAGTGTCTTGATACCTACAGAGCGACTGGAATGAGATGCTTGGCCTATTCTTGAGAATAAGCAGGTTAAAGAATGATCCTCCAAGTGAAGTGACTGCCGCTGAAACACTTCAAAACACTGACAATATCCATTCCAGCCCACCCAGTCCTGTTATATCGGTAGGTATCTAGAGACTATAAACAAATGTTAGAATAAAGAAGTTCAAAGAAATTAGGCTCACCATTCGACCAACAATGGTTTTTGAGCAAAACTTACATTTTTCTTACCCCATTGAGGTCACTGTATGCTTGATCTAGGCCGATTCTATCGAGGAGTGGCGTAATAATCTAACCATAGGGATCCAAAGACGGAGGTGGTGCATTGTTGAGTGGTTTTTCTGTCTCTGTGGCGACCATATGGGGAACCTCCGAATGATAACAAACTGATGATTTTACCGAACCTACCAGCCGTTTGGGTCGGCACGTCTCTTGTAAGACGTCAATTCTTTTGGAAAACGTTTCTACCCCTTTTGTCGGGTCCAAAGATTAGATCGGTGTATTGCTATTTTGTTTTCGCGCATTGTGGGGTCCGCAGCAACATCGATTTCTTATTCATTGCACCAGATTTTGAAACGAGAGCTCGGGTTCGAATTGGGCGTAGGTTGATCCCAATAGAAATCATTCTCTTGGATCCAAGGTTTTATAGTCCCTTCAGGAGTATGCTGCGCCCATAGATACGACTTCTAGGTCCACGAGGGCTCCATGAGACGCCGACAAGTGATTGGTGGAGGATGCTTGGATGGGAAAAGTGGTCTTGTTAGTGCCCAGAGAACGCAAGCATTACGATTTCTTTCATACAAAGCCGTTCTTATATGTCATGTAGAGTTACTGGGAGTGTCAATTCCCACTTTCGTGCCGTGTACATAGAATTCTGGGCTCCAACTCACCGTTAATGTTGGAATTGGAAACGATTACGAATATGAGAAGAATAAAGAACCATAAAAATCATGTTGACTGGAGCCGGACGGACGCTGCTGGTCAGACCAAAAATACATGAAATAGCACTGTTCCCTACAGCAACGATTACAGCCAGTTGTGAATGTAAATCTTGATACTTCATAATACAGTATTTGCTTCATGTAAGAATAAATATATTAGAGGTGTTTGCACTTTGATTTGCGAATTTGGTTCTGGAACAGCACATGGGATTCCGAGAAATTGAACCGATGAGCGAGGCAGCGAGTGTGTGGTGGCTGGTGGTGGCTTGACTTGAGAAAGATCGGTCATTTTGAATAGAAAAAAAGACAGATTAGAACGACAATGAGCTACTGTTAGCTCGACATCCACCCTCGTGCGGTGGCTGATGAATATACTGTAGGTACTCCGTTTCCATCGCAATATCCGGGTGCTCCTGTCTGTCCGTGCGTGTGAGCAAAATTCCGTTGTGAAATCTCTCGAGGATGCGCCGGCCGACCATTTTCAAACTGAGAAAATCAACTGAAACGATGATTTGTCTCATCCATCATCATCCTCGTTTTTGAGCAACCTCCAAGAATATAAGCAACGCGAAAGATCCAGACGGATCGACCAAACTCATATATTGATTGATAACCTTTGATACATTGAACAATAAGACTTCTTCATTGCCAAAACAAGCGGCGCAAGAAACAATAATATAGCATGGGACAGACCAAGAGGGAATCAACGGCACCCAACGAAAAACCAACATCTCGCAAGAGGAGACGAACGATTGCTCCCAGTGACAATCCCCCTATCTTTGAGATCAAGGGAAACAGTACTAACGATGCAAAGAATGTTCGAGTGGTAGCTCGTATCCGGCCACTTTCTCGAAAAGAGCAAGACCAAAAGATGATTCTCAAGCCAAAGGATGCTTCCATTGTGTTGGATAATGGTGATGATCGAAAGTTTGATTACGATGCCGTTTTGGGGCCAAATTCAACACAATGGGATGTTTATCATCAAAGTGGGGCAAGAGATGCCGTGTGTGGGGACATTCTCCAAGGTTTCAACTGCACCATCCTAGCATACGGACAAACAGGATCAGGAAAGACATGTAAGTGCGGTATTTTGTTGGAATGAAGCAAAGGTGGAATACGTGTGCCGTATCTCATTGTGTACTTGTCACATTATTCACCCGCACAAATAGTTACCATGGGAACTGCATCTTCTGATAGTTCTGAAAGTGGCAACAGTGCTGCTGTCGGAGAGATGGATGGTATCATTCCCAGGGCTGTTACCGACCTCTTTGCTGCAATTGCGAGGGATGCAGCGGATACGATCACTGTTGAAATGTCATTCTTGGAAATTTATAATGAAGATGCTCGGGATTTGTTGTCTGAGGGGAACACAGATACTAGTCCGAGCCTCTTCATTCGTGAGGGCCAGGATGGGGAGGTCTACGTCCAAAATCTAACTTGGAAAACGGTATCATCGCAGCAAGATGTTGCAGAACACATGATTCAAGCATCTGACAGACGTGTTGTCGCATCAACTCATATGAATGCAACATCCAGTCGATCCCATGCGATCTGTACTCTTCGAATTACCACCAAATCAAGGGCTCCTGATGGTTCTTGCAACGAAACAAAGTCGAAGCTCACGCTTGTCGATTTGGCAGGATCCGAACGTGCCAAACGAACCGGGGCCGAAGGAAGCCGAATGAAAGAAGGAATCAATATTAACAAGGGACTCTTTGTACTTGGTCAGGTGGTTTCCTGCTTGTCACAACTGGGAGAGACTGGATCGTCATCCCAAAACTCTCAGCATCATCATATTCCGTACAGAGACTCCAAGTTGACTCGTTTGCTACAAGACTCGCTCGGTGGAAACTCAAGAACCATCATGCTTGCATGTGTGAGTCCAGCAGATTCGAATACTGAGGAATCGGTCAATACTCTTCGATACGCTTCTCGAGCCAGAAGCATTCAAAACTCTGCTGTGAAAAATGTTGTCGAGGCTCCACTTTCTCCCGAAGCTGCTGCAGTGCTTCGAAAAGAAAACCAAGATCTTCGTAAGCGCGTTATACAACTTGAGTCGCAGTTGCGTGAGAACGGGGGCTCAACGAAGACACATCCGGCAGCTCGAGAGAGTAAGACTTCTGATTTTGCTTCACAAAGTCGTATCTGCGAGCTAGAATGCATGGTGGACCACCTCAAGGAACAAGTCAGATCGGCATCAAAAGATGTTTTGAATGCCACTGCGAAAGCGGATCAATACAAGATCAAGCACGATGAACTTCTTTCTTTGTGCAAAAACCAAGGTTTGAAAATCGACGACGAGGATAATACTGCTGACACCGAAAAGACACTCTCTTTGGTGCATCAGCTTCGAGAGGAAGTCGAAGAATGGAAAGCGAGGGAAGCGGAAGCAAGAATTAATGCCGAAGTGTCTCGAGTCACTGCGGCATCGATACTTTCGAGTGGTGGAGAACTGAAGATCGAGAATATTGTTCTTCCAATGGACACGGAAGACGACAACGACGAGGAACTTGAAGAGAGTGATGACGGAGCGCATTTGGCATCTGAACTTTTATGCATCAGTGGATCGATCGACAAAAAGGAAGAAATGGTAAAGAAGGCCATGCTGGAAAAACAATGCATGGAAGCGATGAAATCTCATTTCGAAGGTGCCCTACACCATTTGCAAACAGAGGTTGAGACCTTGTCTGCGGAGCGAGAAGAACTGCTTTCCGTTGTCGATTGTATTACTGACGATAATGCAGCACAATCGCAAATGCAAAGCAGAATTGCTGCCCTGGAGAATCGAATTGCCGATCTTAATAAGAACGCAGACGATCACAAGAAGAGTCTTCGTCTGCGCGAGCTCGCAGAGAAGAGAGTTAGCAAGTTGGAACAAGAGATCCAAGCAGACAAGCAAAAGAAGGCCGAACTCCAACGAAAATTGAAGGAGGAGAGTGTCGAACGTCGAAAGGACAAGAAGTCAGCAAGGCTCGAGGCGACTCGCCTGATGAAGGACTCGAACCGATTGAAACTGGAGCTTCAGAAGGTGAAATCGGCCGCGGAACGCCAGGCACAGGTCCTGAAGCGCAAGACTGCAGAACTCGTCAACAATCACAAACGTCAGCAGCTGAATAGTCGGAAGAGACGGAATAGAAACTCGGATAACAAGTCAAGTGATCCACACAGTGAGGTCTCCGACAAGAAGCAGACCGATATTATGTCTTGGTTGGATTCTGAAGTCGAGATGCTCCAAGAAATAGTTCAAACCAAGAGCCAAATCGTCGAACAAGAGATTTTGTTGGAATCAGTCTTGATGGAATGTAATTCTGATTCTTGTGATAGCACCGGCTTGACCCCGAAAGACGAAGCCAACTCTCGAAAAGGGATTCTTCGTCAACTGCGTTCTAATCTGGAATCAATGGAGAAGTCTCTTGTAGATGGGTTCAAGGATGCATCAACTTGGAACGAACTGGCCGAAGCAGAAGTGGCATGGTTGGTAGGAAGAGCCATAGAAATGATCGGGTATTCGAAGATTGAAATGAGAGAGAAGATTCAAAAGGCGGTAGCCTCAACAAGGGAAACCGAAAGGAAGGCATGCAATGAAGAAGTCATGAGACTTCGTTTGGAGCATTCACAAGCGACGGCCTCCCTCCTTGATTCCACAAGGAAGGCACTCGAGAGTGAAATGATCCAACAACTTGGTACTTTCAAGGATACTGCCAGCGATACGGCTAAGATGGATCGCTGGTTCAAGGACTATTTTCAGGGTGCCGAAGCTGCTACAGCTAGCATCAGAAGTAACATCGACGACTTTAAGACTCAACAGAATGAAATTCAAGATGCTGTCAATGAAGTAACAAAGGGCTTGCTTCCATCTAAAAAGCAGAAGAAGAAGTCCAGTGTTACCAAGGAATTGATCGATTATGAACCATTGGAAGAAACCTTCCTTCTGGACGATTTCGATGATGGAAATGACAGCGACTGGAGTCCAGAAGACGAGAAAGCAAGTAAGAAGGCGAAACGAGAGTCACAAGACGAGAAAGTTGATCTTACAGCAAGCACGGAGGAGCCTGAGATGATACAAGCTGAGACTGCGACTGTGAAGTCACCTGATGCGAGGGTTTCCGAGGCTGCCAACACGAGCTTTGCCGATGCCCCTACTGCTGATTTCTTGTCGGCATCATTTGAATCGAAGGGGGACGAATCGCTTGACACGAGCAGAGTAGAGTCGCCCGAATCCAGTGTTGCCAGCTCACCTGAGAAGCCCACCGAATCTCTCGAAGATTTGAAGGTCTCAGAGCTGAAGGAACGATTACGAACTCTTGGCCTGAAGATGACTGGAAGAAAAGCTGATCTGAAAGCTAGACTAGAAAGTCACCAGGCTTCTCAGGGAATGGGTGGAGACAAAAATCGCAAGCCGCTTCAAACACTGAATAATAGTTTTTCAGTTGGCAGGGGTAACGTCAACCTCAGAAACAGAAGGAACATGAGGAAACCTTCCTTCATGAAGGACAATACTTCATTTTCTGCGAAACGACGACGTGATATCCCACCAAGCGACGCGAAACGTAGGTTGCGGGAGGACATGAATAACTCTGTGACCCTTGCCCTGCAAGAACTACAAGAGCTGACCAATTTGTAGGTGAGAATATTTCTGAAACAGATATATTAACGAGAACTGCGGAGTCAGTCTTCTAGTTCGTGTGGTTGGAACTGGAATCCGATAATCGAAATATGTATTAAAGTAATGCTAAACATACATTTTGCACTTGCAGTCTCTTGTCGAGAACAATAGAAGTGTGAAGCAAGGACATTACAAATATTATCATTATTCCGAGATATTTGAATGCCCAGTCGTAGTAGTCGATTTCATCGAATCTTTGACCTGCGCCTTCAATCAAAATAATTATCACTCGTCATCGCATTATTGTCATCATCAATTGTTATCATTCAGCAGCTTATTGATATACACAACCCTTTGAAATACTAAAAGCAGATGATCCTTCTATACGTCGTTTTCTTTTAACCTTTAGCACAACGCAGCAAAGACAAGAAAATGAGAATAGGGTACAACAATGCTGCGATTGTAGTTGTCTTGACCTCTGTTTGTCTCCTGAATTGCTGCCTTGGTTTACCTGTGAAGAAAGTTTCTCAGCACTTCTTTGGTGAATCACAAATTCGGAATCGTCAGGGACCTCGCCGTTCTTGCTCTAAAGACCAGCGAGTGCGTAATGATGATTCATTTGCATGTACAAATACTGACGAGAACGAGATCACTGGGAACCACCAATTCAAATCATCTTTGGACACAGTTGGAATGAAACGGCGAAACGCCTTATCCGCAGCACGCAGCTTGGTCGTTGCTGGTCTCGGAACGATAACTCCAATCCCCTTGCATGAAAGTAGCCACGGATCAGCCAGAGCAGCAGCAACAGTGACTTCATCCTCCATCAATGCGATGGACAGTATTTTGCTTTCGAACCAATACCAAGCAGCCCAAGACCACACCACGATCATGGTGCCTTTGGAATTTAGTGGAGATGCCTACATTGTGTCCTATCAAGTTGGTGGGACTACTTTCCGAGCCGTCTTGGATACTGGATCCCCGTTTCTGATGATTCCAGGGTCCTGTTCGGCAAATACGAGATCGAAATCAGGCTGCTACCAACAACAGGGAAGTCCTTCAGGATTGGAGGGAACCATCGAAATTTTTGATGGTTTTATTGGAGAAGTTGAATGGAGAAAGGGTTCCTTTGCATTTCCAAGCCCAAATGAATCAGCAGCAGTGACAACGGACCCCAACTCTGGTATTATTTTTGGGGTTGTGGACGACAACATCATGAGTGGCCCAGGCGGAGTGTTCTTCGGTCTCATCAAGAATACAGCTAAAAGAATACGGCCCAGCTTTTTGGGACAAACAAATATTGTATCTTTTGCTGTTGATTTACGGAGCACAAGGGAAAATGGACAAGGCAAGGAAGGAGTACCAGCAACAACAAGAACGGCAACACCATCTCTGATGCTATCGACCCTTCCGCTGCTGTCATCCTACGATGATTACATTCCACTCAATTATGACTTGCGAAAAAAGTACGGAGATCCGGTGCAGCACTACGTAGCAAAGGCCAAGTCTCTCATCATTGATGGAAGACCGCTGATTCCAAAGAATGGAAAACCGATTTACATCATTCTGGATACAGGCGTCACTGGGATGGTTGTCAACAACGAACTCTTTGAGCAGCGCTACAACGAAGCTCGAGCAAACAAAGAGAAACGCTTATGGGGAGGCCCAGTGGAAATCATGCTGGAAACCAAGCAAAAGAAAAGTGTGTCCATCACAGCCCAAAAGCCACTGACGACACGGTTCGACCCGAAAGTGAATTGGAAGGGATTCAATGCCAATCTCATGGTCGTAGGACTTTCCTTTTTGAATTCCAGAAATATGATAGTGGATATTGACGATGGAAAAATGTGGCTGGAAGACTAAATACTTCGACCACAAGACCAGACAAGGCCATCGCTTTAGCAATCACACGACACGATTAGATTGAGTCATCCTATTCTTGAGGTACGATCGCAATATCTTGAGGGTTAAAAATACCAATTTATTTGATTCCATGCATAATTTATTTAACATTGCAGCGTTCTCACTCTTTTCTGATCTAACAGTCTTGATGCCTTCTAAATAAAGCTCATATCATCCAGCGTCTTTGAGTCAGAAAAAGAATTATTGGGACTCTCATACCGAACATCAGAACGACTATTCAAGCCAAAATCCTGCTTATTCTCGTCATCTGGACGAGTCTGAGCTTTGCCTTCCAACTTGCTCTTGGATGGTGGTCCACCGTAGCTCTCCGACACAAACTCCATCTGATGCTTCTTATGCCCGGTGATGGCCGTGATCATGTCATTTGAAATCTTGGACCGGTGGATCTCATGAGCCAGCTTTGGAGAGCCACAAAAGGCCAAAAGCGAGTAGGATCTCCTGTGGCTATCAATCATGCGGAGCGTATGGTCCTGAATCGAACGTGGAATATCCAAGCGACCATAGATTATCTTGATTCCACACGATCCAAACTCTTGGTCCAATAAGGTACAGGCATAGAGATCCGGATCAGTGACATATACTGAAACGCGGCAGACTTTATGAGCGTTGTGGGAGCCCCAGGCAGCGACCAGGGCGTTGTAGTGCGAGAGGATGTCGGGGAGAATTTTGGATGCTTGCGACGCTGATCGGGTAGTCCAAATCATTTCAAGACAGTTCAGATTGGCAGCAGCAGAACCAGTAGCATCGACATGCTTCTTCCACGTCTTATGGCGAGGACTGACAGCACGACTCCATAGACGCAAGGTCATGTATCCGTGGAAGATTGAAGCAAGGATGACTTCGTCGGGGCTCAGTTTGGCTCCTCTGAGTTCGTAGACAATGAACCAGTACCAGTCAGCAAAGGGAGCGACGAGGCAGAAGACAAGATCGATATAGTTGGATATTGAAGTAGAATCCCATACGCACAGAGACGCAAAACCAAAAATCGCCTGGAAGAGGACTGTGATGACTTCAAGTGCAACGAACATCCCCGGTGCAAGATCGACTTCCGTGGTGTTCCAAGAAATAGTCAGCCCGAGGACGACCACTCCAAACACGGGAGCCAAGCAAAGCAAGACGATGCCGTAAAGTGAGCGAGTAGATTGGTCGGCCTTCTTTCTGAGCCCGGCCATATTGGTTCGAATGTCTGATAAGTTGAAGAGCTCGTCGTGTCGGATAAGGTCCTTGCGGATGGAAGCTTCGAGTTTGTCTTGGTTGCCAATGACAACTTGTTGGTTAGATCGGCAGATGGCATAAACTTTCTTCGCGATGCACCCCTTTCTCTTGTCCATTTCAAGTTGGACTCTATTGAGTCTTATCTCTCGATGTTCTAGCTCCTGGAGGTATCTTATTGGATCGAGGGATAGCATCTTTCGGACATGTTGCTTGAAGAGACTCAAGACGGGGACGATGCCAGTACCTGACCCGAGGGACAGAATATGAGAGTACTCTTCAGTTTTTGCGAGAGAGGTTCCGTAAGGGCCCATGACTTCGACAAACTTGCGAATGTTGCTGATATCTTTTTCTTCGCTCAGCATATCCCATAGTTGGATTGTCCATGATTTCTTCTTTCCATGGACTTCAATGTAAAACTCGAGTTCTTCTGCGTTTGGACTCGAAGCAATCGAAAAAGGATGCCAGTGGTTGTCAATATCATCAATGCGCAAGCAGGCGTATTGTCCAGCTTTGAACTGAAAGAGGATTGGTTTCTTGAGCTTGAGAATGATCATTCGAGATCCGTTGGTCCCTGCCACAGTGGAAGAACCTGTAACTTTGGTCTGGTACTTGTGATTCAAATGCATGGCCGCACGGTCACAAAAGTAGAACAGCAAGGTTGAAGTGAACCACTTGAAAGTCTGGCTTCTTTCCTTTACGGTTCTTGCTTCGATATCCAAAGTATGAGCAATGGTCACAAAGTACATGATGAAGACGGCATGGTGAAGGGCGTAGAAAATTTCGTAGGGAATAGAATGCCGAAAGTAAGATGTCAATCCCACCAGAAGCAAGAATGCCAAGATGCAGTATCCCGTAATCATGATTTCTTCAGTGAACTTTTCGCAAAAGGCTTGCTCGCCGTCGGAACAGAGTACTCCAAAGAAGACAAAGAAGAAAATGACGGCCCAAAAGACAATGGTGATCATGGTATATCCGAGGTGAATGTGCATTCGGAGGCTTCGGTTCAAGGGCAAGATTTTACCCAGAAAGGAGTCACACAAGCTACTGATGGTATAACGTGCCATGGTCAATGGAATCAAGGACATTTGGAATAGAATGGCATGCATGGAGCCAAACTCGAGTGGGGGTGCAATGATTTTCCACCAGTATCGGTTGGCAGTTTCCGGAACGTTTGCGAGTTGAACATCAAGCTTTCGAAGTGCAAAGTGGGCTGATTGAATTGAATTGTGTGAAGTGAATGATGAGTGATACAGGTATTGTGTCGGAATGTCTTTGTAGGATATTGATACTCACACCAAATGACCAAAGTGCTGACAAGGTGGACCAAGAAGAAGACCATCAGCTTTCTCTCGGCATACAAGTAGGTGATTTGGCGGTGGAATGCTGTGGGGCACAACAAATGGCGAGCCTTGTTGAATAGTTCTCCGATGTCCGAGATTGTCGAATCCTCATCCGTCTCGCTATCGGTGTTGCAGACTTCCTCAAACACCTTTTCGGCGTGGCTCGAAGATTTTCCTTTAGCTTTGACGGTACCATCGGAAATCGCTTCCTCCAAACCGGGAGGAGAAGGAGCTCGACTGTATCGAACCTTGCTGCGTGTATTGTTCATGATATATGGTGATTATGTAGCTGAATGTACTGGGTGAAATTTCTTGTGGCAGTCAGTCAGATGCCAACAAATAAGAGATTTGTGAGCAGATCTGCTAATGCGATCTCTGTACGGTATAGTTTGGGGACCTCGGATTTGAGTGATGGTCTGGTTCGTTGTACGGGAAGATGTGTGAGTGGCTGTATATTTTTCGTTAAGTCTTTGGGTCATTCTCGCGACCAAAATTCCGCTAGAGGGATGGAAACTGTGATCGAGCGTCTTGTGCGAAACACAACGACGACACCAATCATGGAATGTATCACTAGACTGTGAATGGTTGGTAGCTGCATGCATTAATATATATGGAAGCGTATTAATATTGCCAAGAACATTGAACGTTGGATATTCGCAGCAGTAAACTTGTGACAGAATGATTGGTTCGATTCCAACTGACACCGCAGTCCTCTTGGCAATCGAGATGTGGCATGAAACACCATCAAAGTGATGAAAGCTTATTCAAATCGCTATGAGCAGTTGTATACCATCTACTGGTACCGGTATCAGGCACTGCAGCTTCGCTTCCGTTTTTTTGAGTATCACTGCATTTTGACAACTTCGACCAAACCTAAATCCCCGCACATCTTATATGCTTTATTCCATCTCATTTACGTACAGTACAGTATTTATTTGTAACATCGAAATATTTTTCTATTGCATGCTAGATATCCAATACAAAAAGTCAACTGATTCATTCATTTCATAATGTAGGTATATAGGACCATTGCCACAAAGTCGTCTTTGTAGACTTAGGCCGTCATGAGCCGTTTGCGACGATTGATGAAGGGATTTGAGAGCGGCCGTCCGTTTTCGCTAATTCCAGAGTCATCCGAAGATTCAAACGTTGGCGCTTCGTTGTCAATGGAAAAGTCGACTTTCATCATCGGTTCACTTCGGAAATTGTCTTCTTGAATTTCATCTGCATCTGCGCTATCATCAAATGAATCGTCACGAAAGGAAGGGTGTGGCATACTGCGAGTTGAAAGAGGAGCTTTCTGCCGTCGCCCAGGAGCAGGAGCATCAGAATCGTATTCATCCCCGTCATCCGCCGCCTTAAAGTCAAACACTCGAATGACAGGCGTCGTGGTGACCCCAATGTTCCCGTTAGAACCTTCGGTCACAAAGTCAAAAACTTGTGCGACAGGAGTGGTGATGACACCAATGTTCGCGGTAACAACATCCCCTCCCGACTTGCTACCCTCCCGGTCGCTGTCGTCTAACATTTCACTTTCTAGATCTTCAGGACCAACGGTTGGATCTTGTGGTGTCGTGCGAGTCGAGTGCAACAGGATACCAAATACACTAATGACAGCACCCAATGCAAACATTCCTAAATCTCTTCCTGAAATGCTTGCAACTTCATCGAAATAAAAGAGGGCACCAAGGACACCGCATCCAATCCAGAACACTTGATAGACAGGAACGACGTAAAGAGATTCGTATCTCTTGAGACCTCCGTTCAGGAACTTGAGTTGCGCCAGCACACAGACAACCATCAGAAACAATAGGAAATAAGTTCCCACAAAAATGAACTGATTCGATCCCTTGATAGTAGTCTTCACCAATTCAATAGATGCCTTGGCATAGACAGCGGTATTGCCCCCAATGGATCCGGCCAAGGCAGGATAGGCAAAACGGAGGAGTCGTGTCCGTGAAAGACGACTCATTTTGCAAAATCGTCCCTTGGGGTTCTCCAAATCTTGAAGAGCCCACCAAGCATAAAGCAGGCCTCCAATCCAAGCCAGTAGAATGACGACATAGATAATAAATTTTCTTGATAGAAATAGCCCCATGAGCTGCGGCAGATCATAATCAGGGGTAGCATGAGGACCAAACCATACAGAAAGAATGGTTCCAATAAACACAATACCGTTCACAGCAACGTCTCGCTTGGAAACAATTTCCCCACAAATCAACGGCGCCAGCATCATGTTAAACACTAGAGTCATTGCCCCCATACAACTCAGAATGGACGCGGGTGCAAATCCAAAGGACGTCAAGTCGAACAAAGATTCGACAAACAGCAAAAACACCCCCAAAAGATTCAGCCATTGTCTGCTGGATCGCACTTGCTGTTCTATAGGAAGCGCTTGATTCCGCTTGTGGGAGAGACGCTGACAGGCAAGACCTGTGGCACTGCAAAGACTTCCGCACAATGAGAGGGAAACTCCCAACCAAAAGCCGCCAGACTTTGCGTTGAAGGACATTCTTGTATTTTGTATTTGTATTTGTATTTGTATTTTATTCCGGTATTAGTCTTGTTTGTGTTGTGACTCTTGCTGTGAAAATAAAATCAGATTGTCTGATTTACTTGATAGCTGAATAAAGTATGAGTGTTGGTAATGTTGGGTAGTCGTGTTGAAGGTCGACCTTTTAAGCTTGTTGCCTCTTGAGAAGAAGGAGTGAGTGGTTGCAAGCAGTGATACTTATTAATGCCTTCGGAATGTTGCAGGCATAATTTTTGAAAAATCGTTATTTTCGTTATTTTCTCCCAAAAAAAGCAACGGAACTATCATAATATTCGATCCTACGGCTTCCGAAGAAGGCTCATCGTGCCTCATCTGTGTCGTGTTGTGACAAGTGACAAGCCCGACGCTGACCAGACGCCGTATCCAAAGCCGTTTTGAGTTTGCTGGCTTCTTGTCATACCGTAGCATGGCAAGCACGCGCTAAAAACAGTGGAATGTTCATGGTTTACAGCGAATGTATTCACCATGATAAAACAATATACAGTATATTATACTGATTTGTCAACAACAACAACAACAACAACAACAGCAACAACAACAACAGCAACAACAACAACAATACACCAGCTTCATATTCCTCTTATGATCTAGCACTAGTTAGTCCCAGAAGGACACTCATCCATCAAATTTCCGTTTGTATACACACGGACAGACTATCGACCAATTGTTCTGTTGTCCGACATCATGGTCTGGAAATACGTGTGGTATTCTGAGAGCCCACCATTGAGAATTTTAGACCTCAAACCTCAAACCTGAATAATAAATTTCTTTTTATTGTCACCGACCGCCCATTATCGTGTCAATATATATAAGCCATCAATCAATCCTAAAGATATCATCCTACATACATTTCTCTACGATAGAACATGTCTCCAGCAGCATCAGATTGCCATCGAAATCAAAGGAGGCTCTCGCCTAACGTGCGAACAACCTTTCTCCTGAATTTGATGGTCGTGGCCACAATTACGACAATCCCTTATTGTTGCAATGGCCTTTCCTTATACAAAACGTCCCCTATCCATCGAGTTGCAGTCGTAGGTAAGAATTCTATCGCCAAGAATCATGCGTGTCCTTTTGATTGACATGAATTCTCATGCAATGCAATTTATATATGATATTTTCAATTTGAAAAGGCGGAACTCATGGCAATGAATATACGGGAGTATGGTGCATACGAACCATTGAGGCTCAGCAAAAGGAATTGAAAGCACAATATCCATCGTTGGACATTCAAACTATATTGGGCAATGAGGAGGCGCATTTGGAGAACAAACGATTCATTGACACGGATTTGAATCGCGAATTCAAGTGCGATACCCTGTGTGGCGTTGATGGAGACGACGTAGTGGTGATGGAGGAAGAAGAAGAGGAGGAGCCAGCCTCGCGAGAGGCGAGAAGGGCTAAGGAATTAGATGCCCTGTTGGGATCGAAATGTGATTCTGATAATGGTAGCGAGATTGACGTTGCCATTGATCTGCACTCGACGACTGCTAACATGGGATTGACACTGATCATAAATGAAGGCGACGAACTAATGACTCAAGGGGCTGCGTATGTGGTCGGGAAATGTCCAGGGGCTCATATTCTGATGCATTCCATTCCCGAACGAGAAGATCGACCAACATTGTCGTCAGCTGCCAAGCACGGTTTTACAATTGAGGTAAGCATGAAATTGAACGAAGGAATGAACGAACGACGAGAGAAGGAATGAATCCTTCTTCATACACGTGATTCAAGATTCAGATTGATTCCACCTAACTCACCCCACTTTCATCTGATTGTCATATATTATTAGGTTGGGCCCATTCCACAGGGACTACTACGGCATGACACTGTCCTGAAGACTGAAAGCGCCATGCATGCATTGTTGGAGTTTTTTCAACGTAAAAACGACGGGGTGGATGTACAAGCAGAGCTCAAAGAAACTTATCCCGATGGCCATGTCCCATGCTATCGTTCTGCACCAGCTCGGAGGGATGGAGAGATTTCAGGAAAGATTACATGGCCTTGTGATCCAGTCAATCCCAATTTCCCGGCACTCATGATTCATGAGTCAGTACAAGACAAAGACTTTTCACTGATCAAGGTTGGAGACCCGTTGTTTGTGGCTCATGATAGATCCGTTGTTCCCTATGATGGATCACATGGTACGTGCGGGTTCCCTTTTATTTGCTACTAGTACTTGCTTTGCTAGACTATTGTGCTTACCAATCCTCCTTCTTTTGTTGTTGATGTTCATTTCAGGCGATGAGGTGTATCTCATCTTTGTTAACGAAGCTGGATATTACTATGCTTCGTCTGGCACAGGCATTGGTGTCGCTATCACTTCATACTACGACTTGCAAACGGGAATGCTAAAAGAAGAAAAGGAGAATGCATGCTATACACCATTACCATAGAATTTATAGCTTACTCACAAGAATACAGACCATGCTGCTTTCAGATAGCCTCGAGTGATTTCTTTGACCTACAGTTTTTCATCGCCACCAAAATGTATCTGAAACTCCATTCCATTCTTCGATGATTCTGAAAATGGTCATGGCGAGTGAGATTGGATCGTACGAGTCAGTCGAACTTATCACAATATATTCATATATTTTAAAAAATAAATACCTATGCAATATAATACAATAGTGGTAGTCAAAGTACGCGATACGACTATTTTTTGAGTTTTGGGAGGCTGTGATTGGCTGAGAAAAAACAAAAAATAGTCGTATCGTGTCCACAACTAAAATTTAAAAGTGTCCATTTGGGGCACGATACGATTTTATTTTTTTCGGGACACAACACAACTATTTTTTATGTTTTGATATTCTGCATAAAAGAATCTGAGTCTTTCTCGAATTATGGATATATGGTGCGAGAGCGCTTCTTTTTGAATAAACGCAGCCCAAAATAAATCACACGAATAGTTGGGTCATCACATTTCTATTTTACGTCTGCACTAATTCTCGAAGTACACCTAGCCGAAAGTCAAATCACGAGGTTTGGTCGTGCTATTTCTATTCCATATCTGATCTCCCTGTTGGAAGCTCCAATTCCCACCACATCGCTTCTACATACAACATTGCCACAGAAATCAAGTGGAGCGATGCGTCGGGAAGCACTTAGGAAAATATCTAGTGAAAATTTTTTACGCGAAACATCGTAGTCCTGTACTACTGAGGTTTTTCCAAAATACATTCGTATCGTGTCATCAAAATGACCCAAAAATGGGGTATTCAAAGTTCTCATGAAAACCATGCGATTCTATTGGTTGATTGAAAAAAACAAAAAATGGTTGTATCGCATACTTTGACTACCACTAAAAATAAACGACAAATCAATAAAACCCGCTCCACCGTCGATGATGACCCTGCCGGACAACAGCAGCGTCATTTCGTCCAATACAAGAGTACCAAGTAACCAGTGACATATCTGACAACTGACAATGAAAGGCACTACAACAACACAAACGAAGTTTTCGATATAATACTATTCTTCAACTTGTTGAAAGGTCATTTCTATCCAGAGGGGATACTTTTTGATCTTTTGGAATACAAAATATTTATTCCAAAAAATATGACCGGTGTTTTCTGTGTACAAACCCGAATCTTCACGCAAAAGTCCCGCAGAAAAGGCGACGATTGGATTACTGATCTTAGTCTGTGTGCCGGATTCATTATTCTCTTTCGGGAGTTTTCTGATCGCGCGAGTTTTCAAATCCATCACAATACGAAAGACTCACTCCTGCGGGGCTCATGTAATGTATTATCCCGTCTCCATACATTACGATAGTGTACCTATAATCGGAACAATTTTAATGAACAGGTGTTGATTGCTCAAGATGACTTCAAAAGTTGCCATCAAGTATCATGATCACGATACTTTGACGTCCAAATCGTCATTAGGCTCGAGTCAAGATTATACCCTTTCCATCGATGGCTCGCAAGAACTCCGCTCTGTCAAAAGAGGAAGAGGATTATCAATTCCCGATGATAATGATGCGTTTGATCTCCCTTCCAGTCACCGCTCTCGCTCGAGGAGTGGATCGACGGATGAACTTACCATCAACAAACTGAAATACGATGAGGACATTGATTTGGTCGGACGTAACGAGCAAAAGAAGATACTCCATGATTGCTTTGAACGAATGATGGACGACCCATCATCTAGTCCCTCGTCGGGGGGGCATCGTTCAAGGAGGAAAGAACTGGTGCTTATTCGAGGTCACAGTGGCTCTGGCAAGTCTTCTTTGGCAGCAACTCTGAAAAAGCCAATCTCTGCACATGCCAAGGGAGTATATGTGCAAGAAAAGTTTGATCTTTATTTCATTGAATACCCCTTCTTTGCCATTTCTAAAGCTTTCGCCAACGTGTGCTCCCATGTCATGACAATGTCCACGGGAGCAAACGAAGACTTGGCCGACTCAATCGGACAAGCTCTTCATGATGAGCTAGGAGCCGATGTCGAATCCCTCAGTCGACTCGTCCCAGAAATCGATGAGCTCATTCCGGAACAAGACGCCTCCGTATCATCGAGGGGGACGACCGAACAGTACGATTTTGCTGCCGGGCAAGAGAGGTTCAAATTTGCGTTTCGGGTTCTAACGAGAGTCTTGTGCAAGTTTCTGTCTCCTTTGGTATTCGTAATTGATGATTTACAGTGGGCAGACGCAGCCTCTTTAGAGCTGATTGCCGCATTGCTATCCGACGTCCAGAACAACAAACCCAGCTTAATGATCATCGGTTGCTACCGTTCGGACGAAGTGGAAAAGAACAGCCACCTGGCGGATATGATTGCAGCAATCACAAAGAAGCAAGAACCCTGTAAGATCAATGTGACCGAACTTGACCTACAGCCAATTGACGTGGACGATGTCAATAAGATCATCCTGGCACTTTTGGGCATGGATGACGCAGAGCGCACGAGAGACTTGGCGGAAGTATGCTTTCACCGGACCCTTGGTAATCCAAACTTTGTTATCGAGTTTGTCGCCATGCTAGAAATGGAGGGCTTATTATCCTTCAATCTTGGGCTAACTAAGTGGATGTGGGAGGCAAAGAAGATCGAAAATGAAACTATGTCAACAGCCAACGTTGTCGAGCTATTGATAGCCCGTCTGCAAAAGCTGCCCGACGAGACACAAGTGCTGATACAATATGCAGCTTGTCTTGGGTCTACCTTTGACTTGAAAACCTTGGAAATACTCTGGAAGGATCATGGGGCAAGAACTTGTGGGTGTAAAGACCACCTCAAGCTGCTTCAAGACGGGAACTTTATAGAAAGTGTTGGAAGTGACTCATTTCGGTGGATTCACGATAGCTTGCAAGAAGCAGCACTTGTCTTGGGAAAACAAGATAAGGAATCGCTACAATTTTCTATCGGAGTCACACTATATAATGCACTGTCAGCAAAGGATGGAGGTCTGGAAGATCATTTGTTTGCGGTGACTAATCTCATCAACCACGGGGTCAATCAAGAGAAGGTCGAATTTGCAATGTTGAACCTCCGTGCTGCCAAAAAAGCGAGGAGTCTTAGTGCGTTCAAGAGCGGAAGCTCCTATGCCGCCAAAGGAATCCAATGCCTTTCTGATGATTGTTGGACCAATCATCGACCGCTCGTTCTCGCACTCTATTCGATTGGAGCCGAAATGGAGCTCGCAAGTGGGAACCTGGAAGCAGTAGATGAGTATAGCAACGAAATCATCAACAGAGATTACTTTGACATTTTGGACAAGATGCCGCTTTACAAATGTCGAATGTACAAGCTGGCAACCATGGATTTGCGCCACCAAGATGCCGTTGATTGTGGCTTGAGAATATTGGAAGAGCTAGGGTGCCAATTGGTGAAAAGCAGAACCTTTGTGGGAGTACAAGCCGTCATTTCAGCAAAGCGAACCATCACGAAAGCAAGGAATACATCTATGGAAGCATACCTCTCCAAATCAATGGATGATACCAAGCTGAAGGAAGTAATGCTAGTTCTTTACAGGATGACAGTTTCTTGTTACTTTTCTGGGAATCCAATGATAATGATATTATGTATCACGAGATCCGTACAGCTGACCTTGGACCATGGCTCGAGTATGATGTCCGGTGCAGCGTTGGTAAGTGACTTATAGGCATACCTATTGAGTTGCCTGTTACGCGACTGCTGAGTTCCTGACTTTGTTGCATCTCAGGTAAATCTTGCCTACTTGGCTCTGGGTATTTCAAAGGACTTCAAAGCAGCTGGCTATTTGGCCGAAGTGGCTATGATCTTGGCAAAGAAGGGTCGATCACAATATGTCGAAGCTCTAACAATCAGCAATGTACACGCAACAACGATTGCTTGGACAACACCGCTTCAATCTCTCCTAAACCCAATGGCAAATGCCTATACGCTTGGGATGAAATCAGGAAACTCGGAAACAGCCATGTGGTCGCTCTTCTTCCATCAATTTGAAATCCCATACGTGATGGGCAAGCCTTTGGGCCCAATGCTAGAAGCCTTCCCAAATGCCCTTTCGCAATGTGAAGAGAAGAAGCAAAAGGACCAAGCGTACATAATGCGGATGTTCTGGCAAATGATGTTGAATCTCGCCGATGATAATTCCCAAGGCAAAGAAGTCTTGGAAGGGGAGATTTACAGCCGTGAGGAATTCCCACCTCAATCACCTCTTCATGAAACTCACTTTGTGTTGGTGCAAATGAACCTCTATATCTTCTTTGGCAACTTCGAAGAGGCAGCCAAGTTGGCATTGAAAGTAGGCGGAAGCTTTGAAGCCACAAATCCTGGCATCTTTCCCAACATGATGGAAACTTTTCACCGTGGAGTTGCCCTCTTTGCCATGGCGCGAAAGACTGGTGGAAAAGGAAAGTACCGATCGCCCGCGATTAGGATACGAAAGCAAGTGGATGCATGGCTAAAGGCAGACAACCCGAATGTGTTGTATTTTCATCACTACTTGTGTGCCGAACAGGCGGCATTGGATCGCAGGTATGACGAAGCAGAACGTTTGTATGTCGAGGCCATCAAGATTGCCGCACGAAGTGGAGCCCTCCACCATGCCGGACTCTTCAATGAGCGCTTTGCTTCCTTTCTTCGCGAGGAAAAGAAAATGCCAGAAGAAGCCGAATACCGAACCAAAGAAGCCGAGAAGTACTATCAAAACTGGGGTGCAATGGGAAAGCTTGGTGTTTCCGGCATTGAGAAACTCTTTTCAGGCTCGCCACAGTAGCGCGCTGGTTCGGTGGGCTTGTTTAGTATGCTTTTCTACCATTGACTATATCTATCAAATAATACAAACTGTTACATATTTCTCTCGTTTTTGCTACAGTAGCCTCATACAATATTGTTGGAATGAACGACCGCAGGGACATGTCGAGTTTCGAGAATGTGTTCCGAAATGTTAGTTTCCTTTGTGACAGTGACCGTACCATTGCTTTGATCGGAGTCCACATTCAATAGCATACAAGCTTGATCCAATCCAACCGCCAGTACTTGATGCTGCTGTTGCTGCTGATGCTGATTATGATCCTCCAAATCATCTATTATTGTCGAACAATGGCGACGTTTGGTGGCCAGTGCCCAACCTCGGCCAAATGACGGATACTGTATCGTTTTGACCGCTTGGCCTCTCTCTTCATCAGTATCGTCATCAATATTACCAGTACTGGTATTGGTATTGGTGGTGGAGCAATGCCAAAATCGAACCGCGCAATCTTCCGACGTGGATACAATACCAACATCACAATGAGAATTCCAAAGAAATCGGACCGCCGTCACGTTCTCCAAATGCCCTTTGAGGACGTGTAGTTGCTGCCGCGTTTGATAATTCCAAAGTCGCACAGTCAAATCATCCGAAGCCGAAACCAAGAGTCGGCAATGACCGTTTCCATTGTCGTTATTAGCATGACAAAAGTCGATAGCATTGACTCCATCGTCATGTCCATGAAGCGTAAACAAGCAGGAAGACGATTCCGTTTGTTGGTCGTCGTCAACATTATCTATTGACCAAAACTTGATTGTTCGATCCAAAGATGCCGTTGCAAATATACCATTATCATCATCGTCGTCTTCAATGTCATTGTTTGGACGAGTGCAAACTTGCATGACATAGTGCATGTGACCCTGAAATGTTTGTATGCAATCATAACTGTTGTTCATATCCCACACCTTAACAGTCATGTCGTCGCTGGATGATAACAATAGCGAGCTACCAGATGACAACACAATCACATCTAACGATCGAATATAATCGTCATGCCCTTGAAATTCGTGCAAGAGTCTTCCAGTATCATGATGAAAGACTCGAATCATGTAGTCGTCAGATGCCGCAATCCAGGTGTCATCTTGACTGGCAAAGAGACATGCTCGCACCGCAGAACCAGGACTCACTGCGTACCGAACGCTTTTATTAGAGTCTTTGCAAATTACCGCATGTCCCGAATACAAGGCCAGCATCATCCACGAATCTTCGATTGGATGAAAGGCAATGCATTTGACACGGGTGGGTTGATCCTCTGGCATTGTATTGCTAGCAGAGGCTGCCTTTCTTCGAACCTTGATCATGAAATAGGAAAGTGACACAAAGGCAGCCACCAGTGTCAGCACAAGAAATCGCAACAAGACTTCGAGAAAGAGATCCAGCATGGTCGTCCAAGAGGAACCCGAGGACCACTTGACCATCAGGGAAACAATTGCACAGGTTGCCATGCTTGCCGGAAGGAGCAGCTTTTTCCGTTGCCCCGGGAGGACAGGAGATCTTAATAACGCATAGGCGAGGATTGGTGTAAGCGTGAAGAACAGAATCAGGCCATCGTCAAGTAGAATCATTGTACTATAAAGGCATTGCGTTGGCGTTATACGGTATATTGTAATATATATTTAATAGGTACTGTATGTCAGATTTTGATTTGCTTCCCGGACATAAAGTGTCCGATACAAGGACTCCTTTAGTCACAACAACGCTTCTCATCGCCATTGTTCTTTCGACAATTCCACCTCGTTCTTTGCGTGTCGCAACTTGAAACTTGTCGTATCTTTCGTTGATGGTTGATGAACGAAAAAGTTTCTTCTCCATCATCATCTCGCTTTTTACATAAAATATTAATGATACGGTATAATACTCTCACAAAAAAGATGACGTACAAACGCAAACGATCCGACGACATGCAGTTCTTTGACTTTGAATACAATGGCTCTGACAATCATGATGCTTCCATCAAACAGCTTGACGAGTTGTTGCAACCACAACAACAACATCACTCCGACTGCAAAACACTGCGAAACTTTGTCATTCAGGAACCCAACTGGACGGAGTCCTTATTGACACGTTTTGTAAACGTCTTTCGCCAGTTTGCCGAACGAGGACAGCTGTGGGATAGTTTGGAAATCATTCCAAGAGAAGGGTACCTCAGCAGCACTTCTCATTATTATCTGCGTCCTCTCCTCTTTGCCGCCAACACGATGAATCTGTTTCGAGAGATTGTCGTGTCCGCCCCGTTGATTCCAGGTGGTGGAGGTGATCATGGTGCTGGCGAGGATGGCATGGTGGTCGAACACACCACCAGCATACTCGCAGGTGCTCTGCTGAATACACGATTGGAATCCCTGTCCATTTCGTGTCCCTTGGAAATCATGGCCCATGGCGATTTCCAAGCCCTGTTGCAGCTTGTAGGAACTACTCGCACTCTGAACGAATTGACACTGAATGGACTTGCCATTCGATCGGATAAAGTCGCCAAGGCTCTGGCCAAAAACAAGACCTTGCGCAAGGTCTCGCTGAATGTAACGGCCAATGACATGGGACTCTCTTCCTTGATTCAGGCCTTGCATGAATCGACAAAACTGGAAGAACTTTTGATTCAGACCGACAATCAGTTCGGACCACTGTGTTCCAAGGCATTGCAAACACTGCTACTTCGCTCGAAAACACTCAAATCACTGACCTTGCAAGACAATAGTCCATTTTGTCAGACAGAGGCTTCCCGAAAGCTCCACTTGAGCCATTTATTGGATGGTCTCAAAGGCAGTCGGTCCATTGAGTATCTTTCCATGAAGAATCTCTTTTTGGAAGAAGACGAAGAGGATAGTATGATTCTATCCAAGATGTTCCCAGTATTGAACAACAGTTCTAACAGTCTGAAAGGTCTCGAGCTACTGACGAGAACTAGGATTACCCAACAAGATTTGGAACAAGTGACCAACATGCCACGTCTTCAGAAACCCTTGCGGCTGAACCTGGATCGACGCCTCTTGTTGGATCACACGACTGCCTTTTTCGATATGCTGCAAGCGCACCCCGAGATTCGACGACCCTGGCCACGAAACGTTGTGGCTGAAACAATAGAAGGGTTCCACCTACAACATGTCTGGGAATTGAATTATCATGGTCGGGCCTTGTTGCTGCCACAATTGAATCGTCATGACGATGATAACTGTTCTTCTATACCGTTGTCCCTATGGCCAACGGTACTGGAAAAGGCCAATGACAAATCAAATGTCCTGTTTACATTTTTAAAAGGGCCAGCCTTTGCTGGATCCCAAAACTGTCAATGATTATAAAATAAGCAATATAGATATATATAGATATATGTATTCATTCGTTTTATAGATTCATTGAGTTAAAGCTAATGCAAAGATTGTTCAGTCTAAAAGTGCACAACAGGAAGTGGCCAAAGGCAGACCAAAGGGATGCGATTCAGGCCAAGATTGCCGAACTCCTAGGCTACAGCAGACTGATTTAGAAGTCTGTATCAAGATCTTTCAGTCGACGACGGCTGCAGCCTTTTATATTGCAATGCGTATAAGATCATTGACATAGAATACGTGCTAGCCAAAAAAATCATCAGCTTCAGACAACTACTGTGCAGAACCAAGGATGAAACTCTCGATTCAATAGATTGATTATATGCTTGTTATAGTCGAACACTGCTTAATGTCTGCCTATTGCAAAGGAGATGATAAAATACGATCATTGACATACAACGCACGATAGCCAAAATACTGTCCGCAGCAGCAGCATCAGACAACTTCCACAGAAGCAACATAAATTATAGACGTGACAGATTAAAAAAAATGCTGCATAGTCTACAATTCACGATGTTCCAAAGCTCCTGGTTCATCGACATGGTAGTTTTTGTGCTTGCTCCATTTGCTCCACTTGTCACCAATTAGCACTCGAAGGTGGAACTTGTTGTATCCCAAGGGAGCATCTGGATACACAAGGCATGGATCGCCACCACATTCAAATTGACGACCAGTGCCAATGGAAATGATCTTCTCTTCATCAATGTCACCGTCAACTTCTCCAGTCACTTCATCAATGTTGTCGCAGTTGTGGCAAAGTTCGTACTGTTCCGCGTTGTGGTAGCGTCCCCACTTGAGCAAAATCTTGCGCTTGTCTTCGTGACCTACCATCACTTCTCCCGTGGTCTTGACGAGGTGAAGCTTGACGCGAGCACTGGGTTCGAATCGCGGACGATCCACGGCACCCACAGCGCCAATTAGAGTAGAGAGGAAGGCAAGAATGGCAACGGATCTCATGGTTTGGTTTGAAAATGGTCGTTTTCTATCGAAGATTATTGAATGATGGCAACCTCTCCTTTCATGTTGGTATTCCGTCGGCCTCTCCAGTGATTGAATTCAAACTCGTGTGCACGCCAGCAGGGATGTCGCAATGACGTTTCTAGTCGATAGAGTCGATTTACAATCATTTTTGAGCGGCAGATGATCACAAGTGAAAAAAAGGGCCTCCTCCTCGAGGTACCGCAGGAACCAGGTACCAGACCTGTGCCACGTTATAACTTTCAAGCCTTTGCGGGAACCAACAGCATCGAAGGTTCAGGCTTTAGACCAAGCAAATGACTATCAGGAAGCACTGCTATCGTAGTTGTATAGGTAGGCAAATGTACTAATTGTTTTTATTAGCTATGTCGATACAGTACTCAGCATTATCTATTAGTGTATACCAATTGTGCCCAGCATTCTAAAGGCCTAGCTGAAATCGGGCCAGTTCAATGAAATCGGAATCAGTTCTAGCACTCATCAGTAGCGCATGGTTCATCATGTTGGATTCCATGATGTCCCGTTGTTGCATAAATGCTGCCTGTAGTTTGGTCCGAGGCACCACGTACCCACTCCTTTGGGGAAGGGATTGATGAAGGAGAGCGAGGAGGTCCTGCTGCTCTGTTCTTGGGGCCAGAGCTTCATGGTTAGCCCCTATTATGCTATTCGAGGGAGAAGGAGTTATCTGTGCTTGAAGTGGCAAAGGGCGGCCCTTGTTGACTGAAGAAGCCTCGAAAGATTGTACAGTATTTGATATGTGAGCATAGCGTGTTACACTCGGTGTGTCTCCTCCTGGCTCAGAGGCAATGGGAGTCTTCTGCCTCTGCAGAGCTAGCTCTTGTTGTTCCGGCTCCTGTTGTTCCAGCGTCTTTTGCCTTGCGTGTGACATGTATTGTGCCCTTTGCTGCTGTGACGATGCTGGGCATGCAGTTTTCTCCATTGGAGACGGTGTGGCGGGGATCATTGATAGCAATTTCTTCTGATCCCCTTGCTGCAACGCACCTGAACTCTTGGTGGCCTTCTTGTGCTTGATGTGGACCAGCAGTTCCTGGTGTTTTCTGACAAACATAGGATGACAAAAGTGATTCCATCCCATTGTGAAGAAACCATAGTACTGTAGTTGTCGCCTGAAAGACTTGTACTTGCTTTGTTTTGGAAAGTACTTTGGCAATATTTGCGTCTTGAAAGCATCGAGATCATGGATCCGAAAGGTTCTCCCTGCCGGGGTCCACGAGATAATGCTAGCCTCCTCATCTATCTCACTTACTGTTTCAATAACTTTGTGAAGTCGGAAAGGGAAAGTTGCTTTATCCATCTTTCTCCGTCTTGTCAATTTGTGTTGCCCACATGAAGGAGATGCTCGTTCCATGTGAGCGGAAGGAAGCGCGGACAAAGTGAGACAATAACCTTTGGTCCGGTCAGAGCCCTTTTCAATGAACAACGCAGAAGCACGTTGAAGCCGTTAGGGGAAAAAGGCTACCCGAAACTGCAGGTGGAAAAAATGTTCCTATATAAAAAATACCGGCCGACGATTCGCGTGGATCGAAGGTGAAAACCGAGCGCTACAAATGGCTAGTTCAATTATCGGTTGTATGCTAGTGAAGCAATCACGCGACGTTCGAAAATTCGGATTGGTTGCAAAAACAGAAATCATTATTTATTCTGTTTTGTGGTCATGGAGCGAAAGTCCTAGAAAAAAGCTACCACGGTTTTAAGTAAAAATATTGGGACCGAATAACGGGGGTGAAAGCATCGAGATCATGGATCCGAAAGGTTCTCCCTGCCGGGGTGCACGAGATAATGCTAGCCTCCTCATCTATCTCACTTACTGTTTTCAATAGCTTTGTGAAGTCGGAAAGGGAAAGTTGCTTTATCCATCTTTCTCAGACTGATCAATTTGTGTGTGTCGTGTTTGGGAAGAAGATATGATATGATTGCCTTTTGTGCGACGCACACACCTCTGATCATTTGTGGTGGGAAGATTTCGTTATGTAGCAATACACTCGGTAGAAACCTTCGCATTCATGTATTTCATGTATTGGCGGCCCCTTCTGAAGGAACAACGCCGAAGCCCGTTGAAGCCGCTTTCAGGAAAAGGTCACCTCTGACAAAAACATTGTCCGTAGGTATATATCAAAAACACCAGGCGAAGGTGAAAATCTTTCGCTACAAACTGCTGATGGACTTTCATTCGTGCTAAATTTCATAAATATATTTCAGGTGCAACAATATAAAGGGCCTATTTTGGGTTCATATTTGTTCAAGGAGATTGCGTCGCCTATGGTTTCCATGCAATTGATGATTTACGTTCTTATTGTAATCATATTTGATATTTGATGGATTTTGTCCTAGCTATTAGCAGCAAACTTTCATTCTAAAGTCCTAGTTGAAATCGGGCAAGTTCGATGAAATCGGAATCAGTTCTATAGCACTCATCAGTAGTGCTTGGCTCATCATGTTGCGGTCCTTTTCTCGTGGCAAGAACGCTGTCTGAATTTTGGTACTAGGTACTGCGCTCCCACACCTTTGGGGAAGGGCCAAATTGAGGAGAGCGAGGAGGTCCTGCTGCTGTCTTCTTCTTGCAGCCTCATGCTGAGCTTCGTCATCCCCTATTGTACTAGATGTAGAGGTAGCCCCCAGTAATTTTGCCAGCGGAGAGCCCTTCTCGGTTGACGCATCGAGAGATCGAGCGTTTGTCATCCGAGTATAGCTTGTGACGCTTGCCCTCGATGTGCCTCTCGGCTGAGAGACAGTTTGAAGTTGCTGCCTCTGAAACGCTGCCTCTTGTTCTTGTTCCAGCAGCATGTTTTGCTTTGCGAGTGGCATGCAGGGTGCCTTTGTTTGGTCAAATTCCTGCTGTTGCAATTCTGTGCCTGCGAAATGATTCTCCATTGAAAATGCCTTGGTGGGGATCATTGATAGACTTTTCTTCTGATCTCCTTGCTGGAACGCCGCACCTGAACTCTTGGTGGCCTTCTTGTGCCTGATGTGGACCAGCAGTTCCTGGTGTTTTCTTACAAACATAGGATGACAAAAGTGATTCCATCCCATGGTGAGGAAACCATAGTACTGTAGCTGTCGCCTGAAAGACTTGTACTTGCTTTGTTTTGGAAAGTACTTTGGCAATATTACGCATCGAGATCATGGATCCGAAAGGTTCTACCTGCCGGAGTCCACGAGATAATGCTAGCCTCCTCATTTGTCACACTTACTGTTTCAATAGCTTTGTGAAGTCGGAAAGGGAAAGTTGCTTTATCCATCTTTCTCAGACTGATCAATTTGTGTGTGTCGTGTTTGCGGGAGGAAGATATGATATGACTGCCTTTGTGCGAACACTCGCCTCAAAAAACAGTTCCAGGCAGCTCACGCCTTTAGTCACTCGCGGAAAAGTATATAAAAATATATACTGTCTGTATGTCTATACGATTGTAGTGGTCTATGCTCCAACCGACACATGGGTGAGACGGAGGATATGGCGCGAATGTCACAAAGTTGTTTGATTTGTGATTTCCCATCAGATTTCATCATCTCACTACACTAAACGAAACATGAACAGAAGTGGTAGCAGTATCGTGAAGAAGCACCTGAACAGTAGAACAGTCGATAATACGACTGCTATTCTGGGAGATGGTGCCACCAATGCTGAAGACGAGCTTGGACATGACTTCAAGCAAAGACTTCAAAAAACTTTGTCACATGAAAAAACGGACAAGACCAGGAGAGACTACCGCAATCGAATTCTAAGAATGACAAAGTATTTTCAACAGAAGTGCTTCAGATACTTTGAAGTTGGTGTTCGCAAAAACACATCTGCAGAAATGAATGATCCTGCAATGTACTTTTATGATAAGTACGAGTATGATCTTATTTATGCAGGTCTAAACGTAGATTATGTTCTCAAGTTTCTCATGGATCAAGAGAGAACTGCAGCAGGCAATCTGCGCACCAAGGCAGACATGCAAAAGTTTTGAGATGCTATCAAGTGGGGTGCCCAAATCCGTGGCGAAGCACTGTCCCAAGAGTGCTGGGACAAATTGGATCTTTATCTTTTCTCCTACAAGCGACAGGTTGCAGCTGGGAAGGGGAATGGGGATGTCCAAACAAAGGAGGCAGACCCAATCACAAAAGAGCTTTACATATTAATTTGCAAGTGGGCGTCTGAAGATGGCAATACAATGGTAGACTTTTGGACAAAGACCCAGTGGAATTGCATGAGCCGTTGTGGCAACATTGACTACCTTGGATTCAGCAACTTCAGAATTGTTTTGGATGCACATGCTATTACACATGACACTGCAAAAAAGGATAAAGATGGCGATAGATGTTTTGCTAAACACATTTATGCAAATCATGAGTATCACTATTTGTGCCAGTGGACAGCCATGGGTAACTACTGTGCCTTGTACAAAAACAAGCTTGGACAAACTCAGAAACTTTTCATGTGGAATACCAAGGACGGCAGTGCTGCAAAGAAATATCAAGAACAGCTGAAAGCTCTTGTGAATAAAACTGAGGAAAGGAGAAACATTGTTAGTTCTCACTGTCGAAAAGGGCACTTCAATGCTTATGGTTTGCGGAAAGGAGCCGCAAGCTATGCAAGCTCAGGAACCACATGTGCCCCGTCCCTTTCTTCTATTGGTGATTGGTCAATGGGCTCCGTCTTTGACATATACTGGAGATTTTTGCCAGTTGGCGATCATTACTTGGGCCAGATACTATCAGGAATGGACCCAATGAAACCATCATTCAAGACCTTACCTCCACACTGGAAAATGGCAAATCCGATGGGCCACCCACTGATTCGCGAAGTCATGAACGCCAACTTTGGTCCCATCTTAAAAACACATAGTGAAGCGGACTACGATCCTACAGGTTTGTTGTTGCGTTGCCTAGCATGCATGGTATGGCATGCCAAGTCGTTCCAGGAGTACATTGCCCATAACCCAAGCAACGAACTTGTCAAGGTTCCATTCTACAACATGAGAGGATCAGAAATTGACGCATTGCAACAGCTTATCACTGTTGAACCAACTCCCGATGTCATGACCACTGTTACTGGCGTCCCGCCACACATTGAAACAACTTGCCAAATGAAGGCAATTCATGACAACTTAATACAGTTACTTGCACAAACAAGAATCAGTGAGGACAACCAGAAGCAGCGCGACGAGCAATTGAAGGCAGACCTTGTTGCGGCTGTTCACCATGGAATAGAGCAGAATGCAATTTCGAACGGCAACATTACTGCAAAAGGTATCAATGACATCATTCAAAAGCACCAAGACGCAACAAATAAACAACTTACCGAACATTTGCAAGCAATGCTTAGGAGCCTGCCTCCTCAGTTCCAAGGTGGTCAGCCAGCTCAGATTCCGCCACCTGGAAATCAAGTTCAGCAAGGGGGTGGATTGTTGCTTCAAAAGCCTGATCAAGGAAAATACTTTTACACCGAAAGGTTCTGGTCCGTTCCGGAAGACTTTGAGTTCCCTCCAAAGCCAAACCTTCCCCAAGCGCTTCGATGCTGGCTCAAGGGTATAAGGTATGGCAACAATTATGTGAAACCATTTCGCCAGCTACGACCAAAGGACCTCCCAACCACAGCACTCCAGTCACAGATGCGAGTTGAATGGCAGAAATTTTTCAAGTATCTCGAGAACAATGGGTTAGAAATGCCTAGTAACACGAGCGAAGAAGTGACTGAAGCACAATTGGAACGTACTACCGATGAGATGTGGGACCTTTTGGAAAAAAAGGTTTCCTATGCATTCACAAGAAAGAATGCAAAAAGCCACTGTCTTTCTACTTTCGCAAGGAAGGTATCGCCGTCAGAAATTGTTAAGAATGGAAATCCGTCAGATAAAACTTACTTGGAATCGAGGCAGAAGGCAAAACCTGCCGCACGACAGTATAAAAATCGAGTCCGACCGCTGGCTAAAAATCCAAAGTACCTCAGAAGAGGAAAGCAAAAGACAACAGCAAATGCAACGAATCCAGCAAGATTGCAACAGGCAACAATTCATGCAGGAGCGGGTATCTTGCTTGAGCCGATAGACCACTCACCTCGTGTCTTGAATTCGACTCGATATTCAATTGAAGCAAATGCAGAACAGGATCGAATGATGGAAGAGTATGGTGTTGGTCGTGGTCCAACTGGGCCTCCAGCTGTTGCCATCGGACATCACGACCAAACATCACCCACATATCTTCAAGAACTCATTGACAGATTTGGAATCAGGCATCCATATCCGCCAATATCAGTTCCAGGACCACTAGGACCATGTGCTTGTGCCGGTTGCTCCAAAGAGTTGGAACTTGGGCGACACCGATGTGCCCGATGCAACATCGTCATTCACAATAACTGTGCGATGGATCGAAATTGGTACATGCAAAAGAATGGTGAGGAAATGTGTTTTTGTAGTGATCAGTGCAAAAAGAATCTTCCCGGTGGAAGATACTTGTAGGAAATACCTTGAATAAAAGTAAATGCATGTTTCATCGTCGTCGATTGATGGTTCATGATTTTCTGTCTTTTTTGATGAACAACAAATTCGTTGTGATCGGAATTGTGTCAAATTGGTACAAAATCAACGTACGAAATACGTAGAAACACCGCGTGAATTTAGTATATGAAGAAACCCGGAAATAGATATACTTTTCGGAAAGCGTACTCGAGCGATTGTTCCTCGTACAAAATTCCACGTGTGCCTACACAGAAAGCGGAACTCAGCGATCCGGAATATATGTTTTTTATATACTCATTCATTTTCGAAGGCTCATATTAGTCATATTTATATACTATCATGAAAGTTTTTGTATTTATCCTGCGGGTTATGCTGTTTTGTCACGTGTCACCAAGAGTATAGATTACAGCAAGAGTGTCATTCGCTTCTTCGTGATTTAGCGGATCCTGAATCGGAACGGGCATGTGCACTTAATGATATTTTCTACATGAGTGAAATACCACCTTTGGAAGCGCGATTGTATCCTCAAACGATTTCCGCCGAACGTGGCAGCCCACATATGGACCGGTACTGTACCTGCTCGTAAAAGACCAACTGTAGATCACACTTCCGTTCTTTGACTCCGCAACTCGTCCGTCCTTCGTCGTTTTAAAGGGGATTTTGCGTATTGAATTTACGGGGAGCGGATACAATATTTTGTCGTGTTTCAAATTGATTGTCGTGTTTCATTCGAGTTTGTCGTCTTTCGAATTGGTTTGTCGTCTTTCGAAATTTCTTGTCGTCTTTCGAAAAATCTTGTCGTCTTTCAAAAAATCTTGTCGTCTTTCAAAATTTCTTGTCGTCTTTCGAAAAATCTTGTCGTCTTTGTTTCAGCTTGAAGTTGTCGGATGGAAATACATATGCAGCATTCTCGCCTATCTCTCATGATCTTATCATCGGACGAAGATCCGCCCATGAACCACATCCTCACTCCATCGGAGATGACGAATATCACGGCCTTTCTCCATTGGGGATACGTGTGGAAGGGAATCAAATGTGCGAAGGGGAAAGGCGAATGTCTTCCACTTCAAGCACCATTTTGGAGTCTCTCCTTGCCGTGCAGTTTGGATCTAGACCGACCTGCAACTAAGCAACATTGCAGACACCAAGATCAAAGAAGGAGACGAAGATCTTAAGTACTTCTTAATGGGGCTTTACTGTCTTCGAAAAGTAGTTTTTTGGTCAACGATCAAAACATAGGAAACGATCAAAAAGATTCAAGACGTGATTTTGTAAGGGAAGAAACTAGTCAGAAAGGTATGAGTTGGGTGCTGTCGACGGATGGTAGTCACCGTTGGATCGATCAATGAGCCTTCTCATTCGGACTGCAGTCAAGATCCCCGATACTACCTTCACAGATACAATAATAAGCCACGGGTTTGGAATTTCGGTAGTGGACAATCGGCAATTGTGGATGCGTGGTCCCATTCCATTCAAGAGCAGTCTTCACCACTCTATAATATTCTGACTGAAGATGCTGTAGATAGATGTAAAGACAATAAACAAGAGTTCTAGACCAGCAAAAGACCAGCGTATTATACATATATCCTACCATCCCTGCTACTTCACTACAACATGTGATATTATTGACATCTCGTGTTGTGGATGGTCAATAATCAAGTAGATTCCATCTTGGACCAAAACTTCGACCAGAAATGGTAAAAGTCTGGAAAAGAACTTTTGAGCACAAGTAGACTTGTCCCCATCTGGGGCCTCTTGCTCCCTTTTCCATTGATCCATATCATTCCCAAACAGTGCACGGATACAAGCTTCAATACTTTCGAGTGGCAATCCAATCTGGAACACTGTGCCATCGGGACGCTCTCCATTCACTTGGATCGATACGCCCAGGGCATTAGGGCGCAAGAACAATTGGCTTCTTACCTGCTACACAATCATGCCCACCATCACCTTCAAAAAACTCAAAAAACAAAATAAAAATACGCCGCCCTGAGTGGCAAGATCGTTTCTACATGTGCAAGGGTGCAATGTAATATCCGATGAGAGCAACTTCCCTGGGATTGGATGCCTCACACTGGTTCAACAGTACTGGACTCACCTCCGTATGGTAAATGGCCATGACAGCCATTAACGGCAATCTAGAAACTTGAGATAGTTTTAATACAATTAATGCATCAGTTATATATATATGACTGGAAACTCACTCAGCATGCGATTGACATAATCATCCATGCGAATTTTCATTTTTTCACTCAAAGTATACCTAGACACAGGAGAACTATTGTCGTGAAAGTGTTGTACAGTCGATTACGAATTTAGATTGCAGAGAGTTTGTTCTGAGCGCTAAAAGCACTCACGATAGAGCACATTTTGCTTTATTCTAACACCCAGGGCATTAGGGCGCAAGAACAATTGGCTTCTTACCTGCTACACAATCATGCCCACCATCACCTTCAAAAAACTCAAAAAACAAAATAAAAATACGCCGCCCCGAGTGGCAAGATCGTTTCTACATGTGCAAGGGTGCAATGTAATATCCGATGAGAGCAACTTCCCTGGGATTGGATGCCTCACACTGGTTCAACAGTACTGGACTCACCTCCGTATGGTAAATGGCCATGACAGCCATTAACGGCAATCTAGAAACTTGAGATAGTTTTAATACAATTAATGCATCAGTTATATATATATGACTGGAAACTCACTCAGCATGCGATTGACATAATCATCCATGCGAATTTTCATTTTTTCACTCAAAGTATACCTAGACACAGGAGAACTATTGTCGTGAAAGTGTTGTACAGTCGATTACGAATTTAGATTGCAGAGAGTTTGTTCTGAGCGCTAAAAGCACTCACGATAGAGCACATTTTGCTTTATTCTAACACCCAGGGCATTAGGGCGCAAGAACAATTGGCTTCTTACCTGCTACACAATCATGCCCACCATCACCTTCAAAAAACTCAAAAAACAAAATAAAAATACGCCGCCCCGAGTGGCAAGATCGTTTCTACATGTGCAAGGGTGCAATGTAATATCCGATGAGAGCAACTTCCCTAGGATTGGATGCCTCACACTGGTTCAACAGTACTGGACTCACCTCCGTATGGTAAATGGCCATGACAGCCGTTAACGGCAATCTAGAAACTTGAGATAGTTTTAATACGATTAATGCATCAGTTATATATATAAAAGTGGCAATCCAATCTGCGTTCGTAGGACATTGTAGGCTTCATCCATGTCAAATCCAGCCATCACAGTCATCGATCTTCGTTCCATTTCAGCCTAAAAGTATGCCAGCAGGTAAAATTGAATAGCAATGCAGTTCAGTTTGATTTGACAACCATTTCAAAACATTTTTGGCAAACATTTCCAAAACCAACTTACCCAGTATGATTTTGTTAGCTTGTCGTTCATGTGCTTGGTGAGGGTTGAAACTTGATACTGTTGTAAACCCTCAGTACTAGCATGCATTACACAATGTGTTCGGTGATGGGTCACTTTGCAAGACTCTACACCAGTCTTGACGTAAATCTAAGAATGACATCCAGAAGGTTTGATGTGGCAGGCAACTTAGTTTTCAACCATAGAAAAAGCAACTATAGAAGACGTGTCAAACTCACCTCTCTCATGGCATTTTCTTCGTCAGCAAGCTTCGTAAAATCGACAAAAGGAATTTGCCAGAATTCGGCTGGACTCTTTTTGTTCGGACGTTTGAAGTGAACCTCGTTGCTACGTAATTGCAGTATCCGAATTACATTCATGGATGTCATGAATGAGGCACATAGCAAGTAATGGCGATGCCGAAGGACCCCAACTAGGCGATCCGTAGTGAAGTCACTTTTTTGATCATCTTTCCTTAAGATGGCAGTCAGATTCCTTCCTTGTCCTGGAGCAAATCCATGGCTGATATACAAATCTTTAAAACAGAGAGACCTCGTGGAATCTCCTCTCAAACCTGCATTGCAGCCCCAATTGAAAGAGCAACCAATGTCCTTCCAATCTGGTCGATCATTTAGAATATAGGTCATTACCTTCATCTTTTCAGTACTAGTAAGAAGGTCGGCCTTCAGGCCTTTGAAAGGATCTGTTCCTCCAAACTTGTCTTCTTTGATTGAATCGTAATATCGCTGCTGCTCTATTACACTTGCTTCAACTGCTTCACTGTCTTTTACTCTGAATTTTTTAGCTTCGCCATCCATCAAAGGTGATAGGGTGTCAAAATCTTTAAAAAAAGAAGACTCTACTGAATCCCAAAACCTTTGTATCGCTTGATGGACCCGAGAGCGACTATTTTGGGTGCCAAATTCTCTCTTTGTAAAGTCGTGGATGTAATATTTATCCACATTGTCTCTTGTGGTAAAACGAAAGGGTCGCTGCATTGGGTCCGGCATACGGTTATTCTTTATTACCCAAATGACAAATCGTTGATACTCCCGGAGATAAGTGTCACTAAGTCCTTTGGTCTTTAGTCTCCTGGCCGCCTCCACACGATCCAAACAAATTTTCAGGAAAGAATGAAGAAGACAACTGGGCAACAATCGAATTTCCAAGTGAGTGACCTCGAGCTCTGCGGGCGTGGTTCTGGAGGAAGGTCTTACCTAGACTTCCACCTTGCAAATTCCGAAAAGTTGCGGAACCCAGCCGTAACAAATTCCATCATTTTGGAAGTATTGGCACTCAATCCCAGGCTGGCTCACCTAAATGGACCAGCCCGACTCGGAGGGGCTTAGCAATTTGGCCTCACCCAGAGGGCGGCAGTTTACCCATAAAGGTAAAATTCCCACCCAGGGTAGCTAGAAGGATAGTTCCTGAAGATGTTATTATCAATATCAATACATGCCGTAACACTGTTTCTGAATTGTGCATGAGGCTCTAGCCTCATTTCAAGAAAATTGTCTGCATCATCAGGCAAGGACCTGATAGCTAGCTCGTCCAATAGCTAGCTAGCTCATCCAATCAGCAGCTTGCAAGTCTAACTTCAGTGTCACATATGATGGACGGTTTGCTTTGAGTCTTCTGCTGGCTTGTCCGTACCGGTAGCAGGATATTTCTCTGATATTTCTCAGCGTTCGAAGTACAAAGTACAACCGAAGTACAACCAAAATGGCCGTGAGTGAGACGTCCATCTCACAGGTCTGTCTCAAAGGTCGTCGCTGGCCATCCAAGTTCTGACCATGTGGTCTTTCCAATCAGTTGGCAAATATCAAATGATTGCAGGCACCCTTGTCTATGGAGAACTGGACGTGGCCACGCCATTGGTTGATTTTCACATGGTTGATTTTCATATGGTGACAAAGGACATGAAGGGAAGGTCAGTTTGAGGCTCTAGGTGTTGCCTCTGGGTGTTGCTTTGCTACCTGGCTGTCGTGCAGCTGAAGGATTCAACCTAATTGGGGTCGACATGGTCCCAACAGTATGAAATTGCCCACACATTCGAACTGTAATGTACTATTGAGGTCTGTATGTTTAAGATCAATAGATAGAAAGCAAGCCAGCATTTGGTTGGTACTATATTAGTCAAAGAACGGAAGTGACAGATAAATAATACCCTTTTTTTGCACCCCCTGCCTCCTGATGAGGCGGCATTCTGTGGTGCTCGTGTTTTGAGACTTTTTTCAGGTTTCTATTTCAGAAGAAAGCTGCAGACGAGTGACCAAGGAGGTACTACAGAACTATCTGTATTTTCTAATTTGTTTCCCCGTACTAGACACTTCCCTCCTCGCAACGGAGCGAGCAAGTTACACTTGTCGAGCGACAATAGTTTGTAATGCCTGTGGTGCTGTGCTATTTCTATGCTGTGAACCTGAGACTCTACCCTCCTACTGTAGGGTTTCCTGGTCAGACAATACAAATCAATACATTTGTAGAGCCAGGCCAGTACAAAATGTACGTGAAATTGACTACACCGACTTCTCCAAAATGGTGCCTAAAACCTCTAAATACTGGCCACCAAAGAACTAAATGTTAATCCCTGCGCGGAGGGACGCGCATGCCTATCTCCGACTGCATCTATCGAGCATTCCGTAGCACCCATAACTTATGTAGAACATGGCTTTGAGCACTACTTCAATAGTTCTACATAATTATCCCTTGACAAGAATGGTGTAGGTGATTCCCTCCAACTCGGGAGTGTCGACACTACCACTCGACGCCATCCACTTATGTAGAACATGGCTTTGAGCACTACTTCAATACTAAACACATAGTTCAAAGACATTTATATCAAAGAAGAGGTCTGATTTATAAGAGTATATGTGGGGAAATTGTTGTTGGAAGTCACTTTCCTATTTTGACGTTCAGTACATTTGCTACAGTGATGGGAAACACAGCATCAATTATCAAGAAGAGGTCCAACCAATTATTCACACATTGGAAAGTGTTTTCAAATCTATTGCATTCAATAGTGGGCACTTGTCTTGTTATCGACAATGCCTCTAAACAACCCTTCCCCCCTCCTCTTCTGCCCTCCCCCCTAATGGAATGAAAAAATTAGCGCCCGGAATGGCGACGAGACAAAGGAGCGCCAAAGCGCCAGCAAGGTTGCAGTTGTGCCTACAAAGCCGTAGTAATGGATTGTAGCTACTGTAGACTACAGCACAACGCAAATGGACTGATGGAATGTCTCGGTGAAACGGCCTAAGCTTGAGCGAATTTTCTATTTTTTTGGCAAGGCGTTTCTAGAATATATAGGGACTACAATTGTACCTTTTCGTTGCGACGTCCGCGGGACCGTGCGTCAATAAGTCACTCGGTAGGGTTCTACACAACAAATCTGGTACTTACGCTCGTTTTAGTCGATTCGTTATGCTTTTTGGAAAAACGCGTTAAATAATGATGTTCGGCTCTGATCCAAAGAATGACATCACGTATGGCAGAATCATCAATAAGCTTCTACTATTCAGGGCCAGAGGTTGATTTATGGCACTTTGAATATGCATCGGGATAGATGAAACATTCCGAAGCAAAAGAATAGCTAATGGAATACACTTGCTAGTGGGATCAATCACTCAGATACTATAGATGAGTGGTTTCTTTCTAATGAGGAGGCGAGAAAGAAGGAATTCTGGCCCTTACTCTGCCACGTTTTCACAGGTACCAGTACTGCCAAGACTATAATAGTTGTCTGATCATCATTATCGTTTTCATTATTAGTCACTTGAGCAACAAAGGTTCTTTGCCTACTATAGAATACCCATCTACGATTATTGTGCATAGTGTGCCTTCGTAGCAAGGTGCTAGAACGGGTTGTCCTGATTGAAGAATTGCTTGACTGTCTGCACCACCCAGTTATCCATTTTCTCGTCTGTGTTATTTTAAAGAAGTCAATATTCGCTCCTTGATTTTTAACCTTCAGAGTGAGCCTTCGTTCAATACTTTCGGAAATACAAAATCCAATCTCCTTCAAAGAACTGAAGATAACCCCCTGACATCGAAACAATGCTTGGAGGAAGCAGTGATGGCTGTCACTACTTCATGTGCAAGATATCGTTCTTGCACTGACGCATGCACAAGTTGTCGTACTTGTGCGAACGGTTTTCTTTTCAGTAAATGTTAGAAATAAAAAATAGGACGACTATCTTCAAAATAATCATTCAGATGCGAGTCATTAACTCTGCATTGTCCATGCGACCAATCAGGTCTACATGCACTGATGACTATCTACTTCAGTTCCATAACTATAGTATCAACTATTCTGCACTCAATCAAAGTTGCAACAACAATCAATCTAGATGGTTTACTGAAAAGAATGAACAATTCTTTTCACTACGTTATTGGTTGGTCATCGCGTCAATTCACTTTCACCAAGCAATCTGGAATCTCAAAAACCTCAGTCAAATATTATACCGCATATAATATCTAACAATCTACTGCATTATCGTTAGTGTTTGTTTTATTCAAATGAAACGTGATTCATTCAGATCAGTCACGAATTAGCCTTTTTGTGATCATTTTTGGTAGGGAAATTTACGTACACACTGTACACTACGGTAGAACCGAGGGACTTATTGGCGCACGGCCCGCGGATCGAAATCCATCGATTTTCGACGAAACCAGCAGAAAGGAATCGAAAAGTCGCATATTTCTATCGAAATCGATACTTTTTGAAACCCGGACAGATTCTGATGCTCACAATTTCTAAAAACACTAAACGAAACAACCAAAGCAGCATTTCACCTGCAAAGGAGACGAAACTCTCAATATAACAAACAATATGCCCATTTTACAGATTGACCCTTTCTCAGCTGCCTTTGATACAGCCTTTGACCAAAGCGTGCTCTTCAACAACGCCAACGGCGCCTTCAACAAACCACCACGAACAAGTAACATAAAAAAGGCAAGGAGAACTTGGCAGCCAACCTTTGTGCACATTCACAAGACAGAAGAAAAATACTCCATTATCATTGACGTTCCAGGCGTAAAACAAGAAGACATGCAAATGCAACTCACCGACAAGAACCAAACACTTCTTTTGAGTGGGATTCGAAAATTTCGCAACCATGGCCGCAGTAGTAATGATGACAAGGAAGAAGAAGTGGACGAGGCCAAGTTTGAGAAGCGATTCAATATTGGAAACGATGTGGATGTTGAAAAGATTACAGCTGATCTATCGGATGGCGTCTTGAACATCACTGCTCCCAAAAAGGCGGCTCCGTCTCCAGTGACGATCCCAATTCAGGTCGGACAAAAAGCTTAGGTAGTAGAATACTCTCTTTTAAAAAGTCTAGTATAGTCTGCACATATTTCAAAATTCAGACGTTGTGTATAATGAAGTATTAGTTCGCAAAATTGGTTGTATTATTTCATTGTATTTTATGATTCTAAGTTAATTCCTGCTGCTGTCGTTCCAGATTGAGTGATCGCGGATTGAACACAAACCCCAAGCTTTTGAGTCGCTCCATTCGTTCCTTTGTCATTGCCGATGGCTTGCCGTTGCAATGTAGTCGAAAGTGCCTCCGTTCTGTTCACATGAAAAGATGCATTGAATTGTTAGTGTGGTTTCCCATTGCGAATATGCAGGCCCTGACACGATGGTAGTTGTAGTAGTTACTTACGGCTCTTGACCCAAACGGCTAGCTGTTGATTCGTTTTGTACGATTTTGGGACGTTCGCATGTCCATGGACTCGCCGGAATTCTGAAAGCTCTTGGAACCGCTCTTCCCATGTCAAAGAATGGGAGTCCCACACAAAGCCAAGTTTCTCCAAAGCAGCCTGCCGCTGATCGTTCAAGGTAGAATGTTTCCCTTCCGATTTTATTCGATATTGATACCTCTGCCGTTTGACCCAATTACTAAGAGCCCTGTTCAGTTGATAGCGAAGAGGTACGAGGCAGTGTCCGTGTTCCTCTCGGAATTCCAAGAGTTCGGCATAGCGAATATTCCATTGATCGACTTGCTTTTGGCGGAGAAGGGTGGCGTCTGGATAGCCAGCAGCAGCCTTGGTGGAAGCGCCCGAGGCTCGGGCCTTGTGCGAGATCGAGTCTTGATGCGAGTCTTGATGCGAGTCTTGATGCGAGTTTGGTGATGATGATTTGGAAGCAGCGAGGCCTTTGAGGTATTCGATTGAGTTGCTATCCAGATTCCATTTCGTGGCCTGTATGGAAACCCTCTCCACTGGGACGATCTTATCTAGGTTGATTGGGGTAGGCTGCAAGCTCACTGG